TTTTTTCCCCGCGTTTTACGGACGAGCGAAGACTAGCCTCCCTCGCAGGCGTTTTTAGGGGCGCTCGTATTTCGTTTCTCCCCACAGCTGTATTTTATGTTAAGGTTCGTTTAATTTATAAGTTGTGCTGTTATTTAGGAATTTTTGTAAGTCTAAAAGCAGCAACTTACTTGTATCAATGTAGCAAAGTACAGCTGTGCGAAGGGACGAAATACGAGCTCCCTAAAGACGGCTTCGTGGGAGGCTAAGCGAAGACAAGCGCAAGGTTGACCTGCGCCCAGATATCTCCCATTTCCTTTTTTACTTGCGAGTACAAAGGAAATGGAGACGTATACACGCAGGCTAGCACGAGGTAGGCGTGGAGTGCAAGACTCGCGCGACAGGGCGCGGGATCTCTTTCTTTCGAGCCTTCCACCTGTCGCGTGTTTCGCGCTCCACGCTCGCCTTGTGCTTGCCTTCGAATTCCTATCCCAAAAAACGCCCTTTCTGCAGGCTACTCTTCAGTATATTTAATGATTAATTGATTGATTGATGCATTCATTTTTTGATGTTATTGATTGATTGATTGATTGATTTATGGATTGGTTGGTTGGTTGATTGATTTAATGACTGGATGATTGATTGATGAATACTTACCTTTTTGTAGTGATAGGGGCGTGATAGCAGAATTTGAATCTTGGTTTACGGGTTCTGCTCGATAGTTCAGGAAATTCTGACACATATTTTCCAAGGCGGCACGATGAGGACTAGAAAGGTCATCTGGCACTTCTTTTATCTCCATAGCGGATTTTATCCTCAGCAAAATGGAAAGACTTGTTTTGTTGCGTGCTGCCTAGGAATTGTAAGAATTTGCTTCTCATTTATGCTAGTCTCTAAATAACGAATATTATCTTACAGTTGTATTTCTTTGCCTTTTTTTTTTTCATCATAAGGTAGCGTGAGAAAAACAGCCGACATTAAGCGACGCCAACACTGGTTTCCCCGCGAAATGACCTCCGGGGAACGAAAGCCGAAATTCCACACTGATGACGCGTAAGAGAATGATGACGCGCTACTGGATAATTCTTCTGATTGCGGGTTGAAGTAAATTTCCCACGCGGCACGACCAATCATACGCACTTCTGGGCTCGTTCCTCAGACGTTATGTCGCGGTGAAACCAGTGATGGCGTCGCGAAATGTCAGCTGTTATCGCGGGCTAATCAAAAGGCAGTTAGAGTCCATATTACGTACCTTTCTGAAAGAGTCTATCAGTTCTACAGGTCGTGGGAAGTCGCTGTTAAGCTGCGATGCGAAACAAACTTTCTTCTCCGGCAAACTGATTATCTCCAAGTTCTATAAATGAAGAGATGAAGAGAATGGGTAAAAGTGTTGACTCCTCGTGTAAAAAGGCACGTTGATGTACCGTCTTTTAACATTTCACAGGGACGAAATGGAGCTAACGTAGGGCACTAGAGAATCGCCCAAGGGCTGCCGGTAGGGCTTTTTACAAGTTGCTCGAGATTTTCGAAAAAGTTTCCTGTAATTTCTTAAAAAGTTGCTCAAAAAATAACCAAAAGTTGCCTAAAAAACAAAAAATTTTAGCTACCGGGAACGCTTGGGGGAGTTATTAATTACATAACTTGGGAACAAGGGGCATTAAAACAGTATAAATTCAAGTTTAAGTTATTTCCTTCAGTTTTCCCGGCCGGCAAATAAAACACGTAGCCAGTGGCTTGGCTGAATATCATACACGGACATATTCTTAGTGCATACGAAGTGCATACTGAGTTTGATCATTGTAGAAAAGAAAGAATGACGTTAGCACTGAGAAAGCGAAGTTTACCTTGCGAAAATCGTGGACAACATTGGCTTCATCTGCGCCTTCTCGTAAGGGTACGTGAAAAGTCGCTGTTTGTTCAGCAACATTAATAGTGACATTCTGATCAAACACTCCGCCGTCTTTGATCATTCGTACAGAGAATGTTTCTGGTATTGCCTGAAAAACAAAAAATAAAATAATAAAACAAAAGTTAACCAGATTTATGCGCCAGAAAGTTTTGAGGGTAAAGGAAGTTCATTTTTCCAGAGCCCCGAGTATGAGAATGAAGTCCAAAATATGTGATTATCCTATTCACCCCCTTTAAAAGCGTTCCGCGTCATTCTTCCAATGTGCTTTACATATACTTTTCATGGCGTTATTGTTGAGTTCTGTGGCTAGGCCAGTCATATCGTGTGTGAGTTTTATCATGATTTTGTAGGTCATTTAACAACCGGGTACGTAACGCTGAAGGTTTTACCAATTATTCCGACCACCAATAAAAGAATAAGGTCGTATGGTATATGGGACTTAAGATTTTTTTTGCGGATCGTTTCATTTTGTGCTGTTGCTTAGGGATCATGTATGTAAGTCTAAAAGACAGTAACTTACTTGTATTAATGTGGCAAAACACAGTTGCGTCGTAATGATCCCAACAAAACGTTTGACATTCATAGTAGGAAACTTCTTTTAACTCGCTGCTGCCGGCTTCACTCAGACTAGCTGCTGTTAGATGTATGGCGTGAAATGATTTGACTTTCGCGTTGCCACGCGTGTATTTATATCATTTTTATGTATTTGAAAACCATAATGATCCTTCCGTTTAACCAAGCAAGCTTCCTTTTTCCTGCTGTTAAATTCATCGTCCAATTTCTCGATCATTGAGTATCAGATTACATTAAGGGAACAATTCAGTATACTAAGCACTGTTTGCAGTTGAAAGGGCTGTTTCCTGGTTAGATACGAACGATTTGAGTCAAATACAGTTTTTTTTTGTGATTTATGTGCAATGTCTTTTTTAACATAGATTAACAAATGATATAATCAGTTTAGTTTCATCTTCTACGTATGCTGTAATTTTTATTAATTAATTATTCTACTTGCTGTTTCACGCGTACGCTAAAACAATTTGTTGAACAATACTTCCAGTATGTTGTCTGAGAGGAAATAGTTAAATGTTGGAAGCTCAGTCGCACAAAAGTTTCATGAATTCTAGGAAATTGAGAGGAATACTTTTCCGCTAAGAAACACAATCGTTAGTTATTGAAAAGGTTTGATTTCCACGGATACTGGCTATTGTTTTACTCTAATAATTTTCGTTTCATGATTTCAATACCAACAAGTCGACCACTTTAGAGCTGGTTTTCACTAACAACGGAGTAGGAGTCGGAGTCGGTGTCGGTGTCGTAATCAGAAGCGTAGAGCTTATGATCTCGTAAAAACAGCGTTCCGATTCCGCTTAAAACTCCGTCGCGTGCGTTTCGCTTATGATCTAGTGAAAACTAGATTTTCGGAGTCGGAAGCGGAAGAACTAAACGAACCACAAAGGGTGAGAACGTGCATTGTGGTTGGTTTATCCTTCCTCTTCTGCTTCCGAATCCGAAAATCACTTTTTCACTAGGTCATATGCAAAACGTAAGCAAAGGAGTCAAAGCGCAGTTCTTATTCTAATTCTGACTCCGATTCCTTCGCGCTTATGACTCCTCCTACGACTCTGATCTATTATTTTCCCTAGATCATAACCGCTCTTAACGACTCCGCAAAATGACTAAAACCATGATAGTTTTTTGGAGCTGAAACGCCTCAAAGGACTCCTCTTTGCCAAAAATTGAACACTCTGTCAAAAAATTTCAATATTTTCAGTATATTTTTCCTAAAAAAAGTAGAAAGTGGAAATTTTCAGGCAAATCTGGTTAAAAGTTACCATGTTCCTTTTAACCAGTTTTGTCGCAAGGAACGTGGAAATTTCCATGTTCCTTGCGACAAAGCTGGTTAACTTGAGGAACATGAAAATTCTGCGTTCCTTCGCCTAAGCTTGTTAAAGGAATTGTCGCTAGGAAAATGGAAATTTCCATGTTCCTTCGGATAAGCTTGTTAAAAGGATTTGTCGCGAGGAACGTGGAAATTTCCATGTTCCTTGCAACAAAGCTTGTTAACTCGAGGAACATGAAAATTCTGTGTTCCTTCGCCCAGGCTTGTTAAAAGGAATTGTCGCAAAAAACATGGAAATTTCCATGTTCCTTCGGATAAGCAGTGTTAAAAGGAATTATCGCAAGAAACATGGAAATTTCCATGTTCCTTCGGATAAGCTTGTTAAAAGGAATTGTCGCAAGGAACATGGAAATTTCCATGTTCCTTGCGACGAAGTTGGTTAAGAGCGAACACGTGATACAGATCAGAGAATCCACGAGCCGTGCGCGTGTTTGTGAGTCCCGTGCCCATTCCGTCTTCAACCAATCATTGGGTGGATCACTTCCATCCTACGTATTTGCCCGCTGGAATTTTTTATTGCCTGCCGCTAAGAGAAACAACGCCGTAAAATTTATTGTGTCTTTGAAGCAAAAGAATGGAAGCGGCTCACAATAAATCTTGTTTAGCTTTGAAATGAGACCAAATATAAATCTGCGCGTTGAATATTAGAAGATTCTAAATTGGTTTATAAGACCTCTTTTGATTATTTTACGCAAAATTACATGTGCGCAACTTCGGACAAAAACACGAACTTTAATATCTCAAAAAATATGCTATGTAAAGCCTGATTTCAAATTCTTTATCCACAGGTAGTTAATCGATAAACCGATAATTGATAGTAATCGATATCAATCATCGATTTCCGACATCAATCGATGCGGAAAACGATACAAAAGTTGTAACTTCGATTCTAAAGATATCGATAATGACTTTTCATCGATTGTTGTCGATTACTGTCGATTCCTATCGATTCCTTTCATTATTTTGTTCATCGATAATAATCGATAAATTATTTTTTCTCGCCGTTCTTTACTTTTCTTCGTGCCATGTTTTTCCGCCCGTTTAGACTTTCCCTCGCCCCCACTGTCTGCCCATGGGACTCCAAGGATGATTCGACGAAGGATTCGACGACGGACTTATACTCGTTCCCAGGGTTCTCCCTCGTCGCCGCCGACACCAAAGCCCAGCCCCACGACGACCCATACCCTCGGCCATGTTATTTTTACCAGGCTGGGAAGCAAACGGCGGATGGTAGGTTCTTTACAAATATTGCTCCGGATCCATGCAGTCATAATGCGGTGAACAGATTTATAATAATCTTACAAAAATGATGGAATCATGACATCAAGCTGTGCATAACAGCAGGACCAATGGAAGCAGGTGGAACTTTCACGGTACTGGAAATGTAAACTATCATGGCGGATGGTGATGCAAATTATTCTCCTGAGATAGCACGGAATTTACGTGAAATTTTGGACTCGGACAGATTCGTTACTGAGTGTTTTAACCGAAGAAGCCTGACGATATCTCAAGCATTGTGTCTTTTATGGCATAACCAGGATTCTGGAGAGGTTCCTGGAAGAAAATCGAGCGCTCCGCTGTACGGTAATGTTACTGCTGCTGCTCTTGTTGACTTGTACGTGCTTAGAAAGATCGACTTTGAAGATGCTCCGGTGACATGTCTGGGTGTAAAGTACAAGAACATGGCGGTTAAGGTAAATAGCCGTTCCCAATAAGTTTTATTTATCGTTTTGTTTGGTCACCCTTTGATTTGATACTGATAGTGATGATACCGTTTAATATATTTAGTTCGAATACATTTGAGGGCGAGTCTTCATATGAGCCCGGTTACCAGGACCAATTTCGCCTTGGGTTCATAAGAAAAATTTCAACTAGGTTTCTGAGATAAGAAAAGGCCAAAAATCTTGCCGACGAGTTCGGGTGCAAAATGGGAGAAAGAAAGCAAAGATGGAGAACCACAAAAATCATAACTTTCTTGCCTAACAGACCTCTCCCACATTCCACTGCAGTGAGCAAACATAGAAAAGTGAGGTTGAGGCGCGGGTGGACAATTTTGTACAAATCACACTGTATTTTGTCCACCCGAACCTCGACTTGATGCCTTTACTCACAGGAATGAGGTCTATACTCTTGGTTTTATCACTGCAGTTAAATGGGATGCTTATGATGTAGAAAATACAGCGGGCAATGCAAGACGATGCAATCTGGGTCGCCAGAGTCCATCTCCCTTTCATCGCAGTAACCGGGCTGAAGTGTTCATATGGCAAAATTTTCAGCCAACTTACCAAGATCCAGGGTGCAAAGAAAGTCAGTTTTTACAGCCTGCCATTCAGGCAAGCTGTAGCTAGCATGTACTAGCCCACAAGTCATTTCAACTAGCCCCAAAGCCCTTTTGATTAGCAGGATTGATTACAATCCTTCTGTAATTTGAATTTCCTCAAAAAACAGCACTTGCCTGTCCTGCAAGTGAAGAACAAACATCACTAGCCCGATAGCAAAATCCACTGGCCCCAGGCTGAAGCCCTAAACAGTGCGCGTAACCTAGATTGAAAGACCGGTGGAAGAGGGGTGGGGGACTCAACCATATTTGGGAATAGGTGAGCTGCTGGGGGTTTGAAATCCTGACCCTATTTAGGACAAAAAAAATCCTAAAATACTTACCCTGTTTAGGACAAGGGACAAAATAATGCATGCAATCTTGTTTTAAAAATTAAACTATTTATTGGCAATTGCAACAGAGCAAATTCACGTCATAGTCCTTGTGTTTGTATACTTGGAGCTTACAAACAAATTGCAGGCAATATCATGTTTATAACTAGGACAGAATCGCACAAAATTATATACCCTGTTTGGGACAGATGATACCCTGTTTGGGACAGATGATACCCTGTTTGGGATAGATGATATCCTGTTTGGGACAGATGATACCTTGTTTGGGACAGATGATACCCTCTTTGGGACAGATGATACCCTGTTTGTCCATTGGCACATTTCCCTCATAGACCATATGAGGGAGTAACTCCCGGGCTTGAATGCTACTTTTTGTACGCTTTTTGTAAACAAACCTTTGCATAACAGACATATATGGCAGTAATCAATTTGTTTTGTTACTTTTTACATCAGGTCATCAATTTTACACCCACAAACTCTTACCTGGATGACTGTTTGTTCAATCAAATGGTAGCACATGCTCAGAAACATCCCAACAAGCCCAGAAATGCAGAGGGTTGGATTTTAAAGGGATCAAATTACCATAAACCAACCTGTGTTTCAGCCACATTTGACAGCCTTGTAAAGCTTGGATTGCTGAGAAAAGAGCGCAGAAATCTTGGAACTTGTGTCAAATATCCCACTGTGAATCCAGGTACTGTTACTTGCATTATAGCACTAATTCTCTTTCCCAGTGTGAGAGAAACTAATACTTGAGTCTTGGATTCTGGATTCCGCGCCGTGGATTGCAGATTCCAATCATTAATGGCCATTTCAGGATCACCCTTTGAGCTGAATTCCTAGGATTCTGTTTTCCACAAGCAAAAATTTGCTGGAGTCCTGATTCCACTGTCAAAAATTTGCTGGATTCCGGATCCTGATTACCTTATATAGGGCTAAATTCTCCCTACCACTCATCTGCACCTAGAGGTGAAGTCAATTACGCTTGTTGCATGGACACAGTCAGTAGATCCTTTGCGCCTAGAAGCTGAAATGACTTTAGACTGTTCACAGTCCCTATTTTTATGTAAGATCCTTAGGATTGAGTGCTTAGAGGTTAGGGCAGCCATCTTGGTTTCATATGTACTGTCAGGGAGCAAGGCATTGAAGTTTGTAGCAGTAGATTTGATACTCATCCAAGATGGCCGCTCTTAATGCAAAGTCTTCAATCTCAACGATCTTATGGAAAAATAGGGGACTACATGAAAACAATCAAGAATGACTTAAATTACAAGGTGAATATCAGGTTGATCAATTTCTGTTGTTGGAGATTTTAAAAAGTTTCACTCAGTTAGTTCTTTAAGACTTTTATTAACATCTGTAGTTGTAATTTTTGCTGATCTTTTGTGTAATTTTACATAACACTGTAGTTAGGGTTGAGAGATATCAGCCTGCCTTATGTTACTCGTTAGATCAAACTTAATAAGTCTGTGCATGTACAGTATGTATGAACAATATTGTTTGTGTGACATTTTATAGTATGTATGTGAATGTGTTTGTCATCATGAGTCAACCTTTATTTATACAGTTAATTAAGCCCTCTATGAGCGTTTTCTTCATAATTTTGCAAGCCCAGATAGTCTGCTAATGAAGGAATCATCTTTTAGAGCCACAGAGCACACTTATCAGGGAAGTAAAGATGATTGCTCTCGCAGGGCATGCTGCCGATGGCTTTACCTGGACACTGCTGAAGCTTGCTCGCTTTTCAGACTCACTGTTCATTGGTGGTGCACCGATGCTGAAGCACCATTTCAGCAAAGAAGAATACAGAGATGCTAAGAAAAATATGAAAGAGTTGGTTGACGTAAACAAGGATTCTATCAGAAAAAATGGAAAACGGAGAAAAGACCTTGAATCTGATAACTTGTTTTAAATCCTGGTGGCCTGAAATGAATACAAGTTCTGATTCACTGTTAATAAGTCGTGATGTAAAGTTATGGAGAGATAATGTCAAGAACTGATAAATAGCCATCCTTACCAGGATAAGAAGAAGAAGGAAGGAAGGAAGTTTAGCCCGTGAACAAAATCTGGGCTCATGCGACTTTTCACCTGGCGTCCAAGGATGGGAGTAATAAGCTCCCTTTCTCCCTCTTTTCACTTGGTATCGGAGTGGGAGCAAACTCTTTGCCTTCTCTTTACACTTTGTGTCAGATTGTGGGGATATTAGCTCTGTCTCAGCTGTTTTCCTTGGCTCCAGGAGGAGAGGTTAAGGGAAGCCTATACCTTCCCCTTACCCATGTCGCAAGTCCCCCAAGTGTAGGCCAAAGGTCGTCAAGAGAGCTATGGCTTCCCAACTTATGATGATGATGATGATGATGATGATGACGATGATGATGACGATTTAAGGAGATTTTATTCTCTAACACTAAAAGGAAAATAATTTATTTTCATATTTAAAGGAGTAAGTCCCAGCATTTTGTGATAAAAGGGCTTTCGATTGAATCATAATGAAATACCGTTGTCCCAAAACTGGACTGTTTATTTCTTTTATTAGCGTGTTTATTTACCATTAAGAAAAAAAAAATGGACAAGAATGCTTGTATATGTTGTGTTTCAATTTTATCCGCGATTTGATTTTATTTTCCTTTCAGTTTTTGGGTTTGAAACAAAACGAAAAAAATTGAACCAGTTCGCAAGGGTGTATAAAATTAAAACACAACTTATTAAACAGTTATTAACGATTAGTTCATTTAACCAGCTCTTCAAATAGGGTCCTGCTTATCATTGATACCCCTTCGCGCGCGAGAAAGAAAATGTAGCCAAGGTCAATGACGTCGACACAGTTATAGTTTTTAAACACTTAAAACTTTTTTGATAAACTGCGAACCAGCTTACTAAATTAACAGCGTATTGGTGATATTTAAATGTTGAACAGGGTAGTGACGTAACAACCTTGGTTTGAAGAACTAATTTGCTTTAACAGCTTTGGTACGGTTGAGAGCTGACCACACCATTGATGGAAAGAGTATTTGTGTGTTACGCGGGTAGTAACTGATTGAGTAATGCTTATACTTTCTTGCATTATTTGGCTTTTAGGCGTACGGTTCGAACTTCACATTACTTCTTTTACAGGACTTGCTCATGATTCGTATGCCAAATGCCAACTCCTGTTTCTTGATTAATTCGACTGGTAATGCTCCCAAGTCGGCGGAATTGATGACTCTTCTTGACACCGAGGTACGCTATTATAGTACGGAGTTCCTTTTTCTGGCTTTTTACATTGCTTAAAACGTATTTACAGCCCGTGGTAGGTCAGAATAAGGGGGCGATGGAGAGATCACATGGTTTAAGATATTGTGAGTGAAAGAGGACACAAATTATATTTCTATTCAATGATAATAGGACTACGAGTGCGAGTTATCTGAGAGTGCGTTCAACTGGGCAATCTAGATTTAGATCGTCCGTCCTTGGATTTTTTTATTACCAGTTTTTTCGGGATATCCGCGGAAAAATATTTAAAGAAGAACAGCGGCCATCTTGCACCCGCACACGAATGAGTATCGCCCCATGTTCCGGAATCCGGCAAAATTTTTCTCGTGGAATCCGGAATCCTAGTCTTTGAATTCCGGAATCCCACGAACGATTGGAGTCCGGAATCCAAGTTCTACCTGGACAAAGACTATATCTAATTCTTCAGCGGAAACATGCCGCAAAAACAAATATTCAAGAATCTGCCATTGATTTCTTTTCGTTCAACTGAGTCGCCGGTTCGTTACTCATCACGCCACAGGTTACTCAGTTCCAGGAGCCTATTCGTAGTACATGTACTGTATTCTTCAGTTCTTAGTAAGTGGTAGTGGGAAGGGGGTGCAAAACCTGATGGGCTTGTAATATTGAGAAATCAAAATCAAACACAATTACTTGGCTAAACCTCTAAGTATGACTATGATCCTCAGGACATTCCTTTGCACTCTAGGATGATCAATAAAATTGGCTAAAAGTTGAGATAAAGAAAAATTAAAGTTACCTGAAAAGTTTAAGCGTCGAGTATCACTTAAAACCGTTTAAACCACTTTGTGGATAACTGTTCAGGACTAAATTCGTTTAAAAAAATAAAACGGATATTTTTGTTCGGTTTGGTCGTATCCGGTTAAAAACGGTAACCGAAAACGTATCTTTTCGAAAAACGTTCTCCAGGGTGGAGATTTTTCAAAACGAAGAGGATTTGCTGTACTCGTGACGTATGTATGGAAGAAAACGGAGGTTATAGAAAAAAGATTACGTCACGGTACCCTGCGAGCGGGAGGTTTCTCTCTTGCATGGCTTTTAGCGTTACGGTGTCGTTGCGCCGCTTGCCAGTCGCGTAGTTAGTCTGCTTTATACGCCCGATGCAAGAGACAACATCTGTTCGCAGGGTACGTCACGGTGTTGGATATCAATAAATGCCCATGCTCCCATCAAAGATGGCACCGTTTCCAGTCACTAGTTCGTTTTCGCGTGGACGGGAAAAAACGATTCGAAAACGCAACGTGTTAGAAGAAAAACGTTTCCGTTTTCAAATAAAACCTAGACTACGAGTAGTCCCCATTTTTCCTCAGGGATAGTAGAACGAGCAAAACGCGAGCGCTCGAGAAAAGGCGACACGCGGCGGAGAGAGAGAAAAAGAGAAAAATGAGGTGATTTTCACGCGCGCTCGCGTTTCGCTCGCTCTACTATACCTGAGGAAAAATGGGGACTACTCGTAGTCTAATAAAAACGAATACGTGTGGAAGGGGTCTAACTGTCTTCCGATATTGCATACATTAGCATATACATCAGAGACAGAGAGGTCCCATCTTTCTTTGATTATTACGCGTATTTTCTTTTGCTCTTACCAGTAAACTGTGCTGTCACATTTCTCGGGTAGTAATCTGAAATAATTCGACTAAGATTTTCATGAAATGGTCCCTAAACGCTCTGGTCCAGAGCTCCAGTCCTTCAAGAATAAAAACACCAAAATTCTGAACACAACATTTTAATATTTTCCGGAAGAATTTGGGGTTCAGCTGTACTAACAACATATGAAGACCAACCTCCTTCTTTTAAACATAGGTGCAGTCACATATTGTATGACATTAGGGTTACCAGTCACCTTGCTTATTTACTAATATATTAACGATCTCGTCAACCACCCATGAACACGAATTCAGAGCAGGATTCGGTTTTTTAAGGAAAACTAAAAACATTTCCTTAAGTTCTTGTGGAAAGTAACTTTGCTTCACCACAGGAAAAAGAAGTTTTAAAGCGCATTTCAGGTTTCTAACAATCTCAATGGAGTATTCGTTTTTCAGCAGGCCGAGGTACGAGAGAAGGCTCTCCCCAACAGGCCACGCCCTGCATTTCAACTCGACAAAAGTGCGAAAAAATAATGAGTCCATGCACTTCGAAAGTAATTCCTTGTCTTGTTCAAGAGCAGCGAGGTCACAGATTCGCTTGAAGCTCCTTCCTGTCTCTCTTTCACCTTCCTGCACCGAAGTAGGAAGAACTTCTTGGGTAACCGCAGACACAAGAGCCCGAAGGCGCAACTCCTCTAATCCAAACAGTTTGGGACTCGACTTGGAAAGAAATGAAGCAAATGTAGAAGCAAGATTTCTTGGAAAATAATCCTCGCCGAAAATATGTTCAAGCGCTAGAAGGGGACCTTCGAGGTTCGATACGATGTTGACGTCAAACTCTCCCTTAAGAAGTCCCATCCGAACTAAAATGCAATTCCCGAGGGACGAGGCATTGCAATATTCGTGCGACAGGCCTTTTTGCATAATATCCCCGGCGCACCTAAGTAATAGTCGCTTCTCACAGGACAAAGCAACGCAGACTTGAAGGAAAAGGCTTGCAATTTTGTCCGCTATCCAGGGGCTGCTAGTTGAAAGATATTTGTCCAATATTGTCCTAAACAACGAATACTTTGAGTTGAGACAATATGTAAAAATCTTTGAGTTTTCGAGAAAAAAAACCACGAAATCTTCCACGAATGGCGGTTGGAGATTTCTAGTGTTGATCGCCTGACTTAAACAGGATAAAAAGTCTTGTACTTCATCCACACCGAATTCGCTCATTATTTTGCGCAATTGGCGCTCTTGCCTATCGGAATCTCCGACGATCAAAATTTTGTTGCTTTTAGTATGGATTCCGCCCGCACTTTTAGCTTCACTATCAGCACACTTCCGTGACGATATTTTCTCGCTCTTGCATTTGCAGAGCTCTTTTAATGTTTGAGCGAAGTGTTCAAAGTTGTCAAATACTGGTACCTCCTCTGGCCTTGTCTCTTCGAGGTCAAAACTGGTCAAACCTGCTGGCAAATTCCTGCGTTCAATACAAAAAGACGCCCGTGGATTGCGAGAACAGAGTAAGGTACCTTTCAAATCAGTCAGCAGCTTTGCTAATAAGCCCGTTTCCAAATTGCGGCGATCCGTATTTCTCCCAAATAAGTCCTCCCTTATTAAAGCAAGGGAGCATCGTTTGCTTGGTCGAGCATCGAACGATGCAACAGAGTATACAAGAAAAGGATAATGACTGAAAGAAACGCAACTTGGAATCGTGTTCCAGAGTTTTCTCTCAAATACGTGAAGTGTTTTCCACGAGTTGTAAGAGGTTAAGCCATCCAATTTGTCTCTTTTTCTTGTAACCATAGTTCCCAGAAGATGGTTAATTTTCCAAGACAATTGCTCGCCTTCTTTGACGTCTCTGTTCTTTAACTTCAATAACACCTTGTTCCAGTGTTCTTGAAACTGAATTTGATTCTTTTTAGATTGCTTAAAGGAATGAACATGTTTAACATCCCGTACTCTAGAACTTGTAGCACAAACACAATCCTTCCTGACTGTCTCCTCTTCTTTTTCAACACCTTTGCATTCAAGTGCTGGTTCATTTCGATTTTCATCCAGAAGACTGTCTTTGGAAGAGCTACGACTTCGCCGAGGTTTGTAGTGGAGTAAAATATCCGCACTCCCTTTCTGATTAAACTTAAAAGCCAAACCAACCGCAGTGAATCCAAGTTTGTCTTTAACACTTCTGTCGCAACCAGAGTCAATAAGTACTTTCAGATTGTGTATGTTTCCTAGTTTAGCTGCTAAGTGAAGCGCAGTGCGACCGAGTTTGTTACGCACGTTCACGTCGCAGGATCCGGCAGTTACTAGAGTAGATATAATGTTTTGTTCTGCTTCAGAATGTTCACTACTGATGTGAAGTGAAGTCATTCCCTCCTAAAATAAAACACACCACAAGGATTACGGTTAGATACCGATACTAAAAAATTCAGACTGTAGAATCTCTGAGTGCGCGCAATTACCATTTTCGCCTTGCCTAGATCCAGTATCAGCTCCTGACATTGCCCACAAAATACCTTGTTAACTCCCCCCTTCCCGCCCTTCAAACCAATTTGGATGAGCATTGTCTGAAATTTCTCTTGGGACCACTGTAACACCCAGGAGAAATTGAAACAATACAATGGTTATGCAATTTTTATTTTGGATGTTAACAAGATGTATTATTGGCAATGTGAAAATGGTTATTTGTATGACTATAACAAGGCCCTTGTATTCACAAAGACGGCTAAATTCCCAGTTTCAAATACTTGGGACCACTGTAACACCCAGGAGAAATTGAAACAATACAATTGTTATGCAATTTTTATTTGGATGTTAACAAGATGTCTTATGGGCAATGTGAAAATGGTTTTTTGTATGACTATAACAAGGCCCTTGTATTCACAAAAGCGGCTAAATTCCCAGTTTCAAATACGATACGATGCAAGCCTTTTTAACGCGTCTCAGAAAATCAGTACTGAAAAACTGGCCAGAGTTTGTTCTCTTTTAATGCACTTACTTGCACTGTCAATAGACGTAATCAGGGGTAATGGCAACAAGAAACATCAATACAGTGTTCCAATCCACTTTGAAAGAGCAAGGACACTATTTATGGTTGTCAAGAGAGGATAAAGCTCTTGTGGTTGTCTTTTGTAATGTGTACATGAACGAAAACAAGGAAAACGACTACACTGACTTGAAAACTTCAGTGTATAAATTGTGTCATCGTGTCTGATCTAGGACAAGTTGCTAAAAACAACAACGTCTTCAGTACTCTTCTTCCACTGGTTAGCCTGTGAGGAACAGGCCTTCCAGTCGCTTTCTCTTCCCAGTTTCTTCCGATATTGCTGACTCGCTTGAAAACCATGCATGATGCACCCTCTTTGTGTTGCAGGTCCGGGCACTCACAATTAAGAATTTTACAGCCAAAGCCTTCGCATGCAATCCTACCTTTTATGACTAAATTGTAGCGACACATATATGATTGTTTAATATTAAATCTCAACGAGGCGCATTCTTTTTCTTTGAAATGTTCCGAGATGGTAAGACTTTTCTCTGGTATACTTACTTTTGTCCGACTGTTGACGTCAGATCCCGCTTGTACTAACAGTTGCACCAATTGTTCACTTCCTTGTAGTGTAGCAAGGTGCAAAGCTGTAAAGCCCATGGAATCTCTGGACTCTAGATCACATGCTTCAGTGCTTGTTAGTGCTTGTACAGCTTTGATGTCCCGAGATATGACAGCATTATGAAGAGATGAATATCCGTAGCCAGTCTTCGAGCTTCTCACATCCATATCTAGCAGGCGGAACATAGCAAATATTTCTGTAGTACGTAATATCCACGGTGTTTAATTAATTATTTTTCGTCCTTTCTATTCATTATCATCTATTTCAATACCACGTGGAAGAACAAAGAAAAATTAAAATTGCACTTCAAACAAAATTGAACCGCAACGTATATACATATGAATTACTGTTCAAAGCTCACTGTTTACATTATTGATGACTCTAAATCCTACCCTTTTTGAAGATCAAGTTGTTTTCAAAACAACAATAAAATCTCACTTCCCTACAGCAAAAGCTTCCTTCATCACGCGCTTTGTTTCATTTTGTATGATAATAGCAATGGATAGATAGGCGGTTATATAAAGTAGCTTGTTTTCCCTCCCAGAATATTACTAATTTTCAAATGAACTGCTTCAGAAACTCTGTACACTGCTGTACAGTACGTTCTAAATAATCTGAATTGTTCAACAGACGGTGGGTCGAGGACAGGCCCGATCGGAGAAGTTTTATGGTATACGTTTTGCTGAAAGTCTCGTTAACAACGAAGAGGTCATTTAGTTGTTCTCGGCAAAGCGGGAGTTGTAAAAAAATCAGTATCCGCAATCAAACGACTTGGGATGATAATTATTGTCAGGCGAAAGTTTAGTTAACCTTTCTCCGCCAGCATTGCCAAGAATTTCATTTGATGTTTTAAGCAGCAATTGAATGAGCTGTTATGCCTTCACTCTCTTTGAATACATTTTCGCAAATAAATTTTGCTAATATTCTAGAGTTTACAGATTTTATACGCACGAAGTGAAGATAGAATGACGCGAGGACGCCATATGTTGAGAAAGGTCAACATTTTCAAGCTTACCTTTTCAAGTTTTAAAAAAACACTCGTCGTGTTTCATCCACTTCTGTAGAATACGGATTCCCTGTCACTTAAAAACGAAACTTTTGTTTGGCGAAACATCTTCATTTGTAAATCTTGTTCCAACGCTTACGCTGTTACCGTAAATAGTATGATAAAAATTTTCTTTAAGCCGTAATGCTACGTCCGTGATCTTCTGTGGAATGTCGTCAAGTCAGTTTCTTTTGTCACAAAATGTCACAAATCTCCAGTTAAACAAAGAACATGATCTTTATTTATTGAGTGCCCACTATCCCGCAAATGGGCTTTTAATGGGACGACAAGACTTGAGCACGATAACAGCTTTTGATGAAAAAGTAAATTCCATGTGTAGCGCAAAAATTATCCAATTATCTACTAAAATAAAATACATACACAGGATTTTAATATTTATGTCTCTGATGCTTTTTTAAAAACGTTGCGGCTGTCATATACATAATTATTATTAATTTACCGCCGTTATTCGAAACCGCGGTTGTCGCATTTGATCAAATGATGGCTGGAAGGGGTTAGGACTGACAGGTGGACCCTCGGTCATTGGTAGTCTTTACACTTGAGCCTAAAGCTAAGAAATATTTCAAGAGAAGTAAATTTTACATTCTTCAAGTAAAAGGAAGCTTCACACACAACCGTTTCTTCTACATGATTCGCCTTTTCAAAGCTCAAGAAACCGCAAGTTCGCTTAGTCGGTTAAGGATGGTTTTCAAGTCACTTGAAACTTTCTAGAATCGTTTCAACTTTCCGACTTTAATAAGATGCAAAGTAAACTTGTAACTTGAGATTATACTTAGGCCTTCACACACGTACATTTGGCTAAGTAAAACTTAAGGCGGCTCTAGTGTAAAGACACTGACCATTGCCAGTTTCTACTTGTTGGCATTCCCGGCTGATCATTCCCTTTGACGTTCCAGGCGCAACTTATTTCTTAAAACGAGTTGAAAAGCGATGTTGTACGTTTTAAAGGGGCTGTGTCACGACAGTCCAGTTCATTTTGTTTAATTTTGTCAATTACTCGCCCTCGATCATATCGCTATGGAACTTAAAGTAAGCAAAGAAGTTACACTGTAAATGACAAAATCAGAGATCCGAGACAAACAAATATGTCTTCTACGCATTATTTTTGAAGTTGCAAGCAGCAGGGATCAACTTTGAAAAACTGTTAGTCCGAACAGTTTTCAAAAACCCTAATTTCAATCCGTTTCAATCTTCTTATGTTATTTTAACCTTCCTTTAAAATTTTAAGTGGTTATTTTTATATTTCTCTTAATTCAACGTGCATTTTGTAATTTCCTAATTTGGCTGTATTTCGTAACGGGTCCGTAACACAGCTCCTTTAATACCACACGAAAAAATCGCGCAACATCGCTATTCAAAAACAAGTTGCTCGTTTTACTTAAACAAATTTACGTACACGAGCGGCAAAATTTATTCGTACATTTCTTTGCCGTTGTTTTGCACGGTGACTACATGTTCAAGGTTAAACTTCCTAGTTACACCAGGAGCCCATCCTGGTTGCACGTTTTATAGCCGGGAAATGTCGTATATGTACCTGTTCGCATTTTTTTGTCTTTCACTGTCGTTTATTTTCACCAGGGTGGCCGTTTGAACAGTCTCATTTTTCATTTTTTTTTCTTTGTTTTTTATCTCCCGATCTAGCTCTATCTGGATGTGTTGTCCACGTCGTCATTGTAGACATCAAAATTTACGCGGAAAAAAAAAGAACTCGGCTTTGATAGCTCCGTCCGGCAATTCATCTTCACATGGATGGGGTAAATAACTGACAAGCTATTTTCATGCCTTAGTATAGTGCTTGTAGTAAATGTAACATTTTCAGGAGCTCATGACTCTCATGGGCTCTTAACGTTTGACATTGGTTTACATGTAGGGGGTGGACGAACGTAGGGACGGTCAATTGATTACCAAAATTTCTCGCATCTACAGGTTACCATTTTTTTCCTATATTACCCATGGAGCTATCGCGTCCATGGAGCTCTCTCGCGCGATAGAGCTCCGCTATTGAAACTGGCCACTGTGTGGACAATTAATTAGTTGATTCCTTGCCCACCCAACAGTCTCACTCGCGCGAAGTCCGTGCGCCTTACACGTCCGCAGCTGGGCGTGTGAGGCGAGAGAAAACCGTCTAGCGTTCCGTTCAATACGTCTCCCCCCAGTCTTGCTCGCCGTCTTCAGCCCCACTCCTAGCCTGCGTAGCAGGTGCCGGTTTGTATTTTAGGGCGAAGGAAGAATCTTTTTAAAAAATAACCAGCGCCTGCCATGACGGAGGCTACCTCACTCCAGACCTCAATTTTGTTTGACAGTTCCGGCGCGTTCTGCCCAAAAATAGGGACGATTTTGCGGTCTTTCCCTACCCCTGTATCCCAATCGAAACAATGTAAGTTGAATTTTGAGCTAGTCTCCTCATAGGTACCCTGGGTGCCAGATGCTTTTCATGCGCGGTTTCCGGTTTCGGGTCACTTTTTTAGACTTGGCCGAAACCTTTTACTGATTAAGAGGAGTGAAATGGATCCGAATGTGAAGCCACCGGGGTTGAGACAAGGACAATTGATATTAATGGCATTTTAACAGAGTTTGCCCGTCTGAAGGGTACACATCTCGCCCTTTGCTTAGCTTGTAACGTCCCTGACGCCGTAAACAGTCCTTTATCGGTAACACTAGAGATTGTTAAACTGATAAACAACTAATTACAGCATTTTCCTTCGTCGTTATTTACTAAAAATGTCCTGCAGAAAACGTAGGAGATGACATTTCCAAGGGTCTCAATGGGGTTCACCGATAGGCATAAAACGGCCAAAAATTTAGCCGATAGCCGTAAAAATTGAAAATTTTAACCGTTAGCCGTAAATAGGGTAAAAAAGAGTTAACCGTAAAAAAAAGGGTTCGCTAGATTTGCTACTTTTAAGGAAGGTACTAAACTCACTTATGGTTGCCTTTTTTATTTCTCGGCTAGTGTGACTCCGTACGCACGTTAGGCGAAGGCTAGTGTGGCTAGTGTGACTCCGTACGCACGTTAGGCGAAGGCTAGTGTGGCTAGTGTGACTCCGTACGCACGTTTGGCGAAGGCTAGTGTGGCTAGTGTGACTCCGTACGCACGTTAGGCGAGGGCTCCATTTCCAGCGCTCTCGGGGAACCAATTTTTTCCATAGCGAAAGTGTGGCCTCTTGCTGGCGATTAATATTTGCAATTTTCCGGAAGTCGTGCCCTCGAAAGCCTAGTGAAACAACACGCAGAGAGGTCACTGTTTGTAAAACACGTTGCCGATAAACAACATTTTCCTGTTTTTCTCTGACGCTACGGTAGACATTGCCATGCCTAGTACCTGTATGGCGTCTTCCCACGCAATCTCGGTCAAGGCATTTCGGTGACGAACTCGCTCGGACCACGTGACCCGAAACGCATTAGCCGAGCGGAATAATGCGGCATACGGACAAGGCAACGGCAGACAGTCGTTCCGTACAGTCCTTTGCTATCATTAAAAACACTGGACACGGGAATTTTGTTATTGGCCGTTTTCACACTAGAACTAGAAATGGATCATCCGTCTGAGACCAGCCTGTGTACAGTCGCGTCCTCCCCACAGAAAACCCTTCTCAAAAAATTTTCTGAGTGGAAAGGGGCGGCTGTACACAGGCCATCTGGAACGGAAAATTCCGTCTTCAAAAGTCAGGCGGATTGTTCATTCAAAATTAAAACTATTCCATTTTCAAATTAAGACGTATTACCTATCTGACGGATAACCCGTCTCACACGAATAATCCTTCTCTAGTGTGAAAACGGCCATTTCTGTGATAATGAATGTCTCGCCCAGGCCTTGAGTTGGGCGTTCGCGTGTCTGCTTTTGCTTTTCTCAAAGATTATTTTTAAATTGACTATTGACATCTCTAGGTGTAAAATAATATTAGAAGTGGAATACTTTACAAAAAGTATGATCTATCAAATGTTAAAATTTTTCAAAAGAATAGCTTATTTCATCCCGAGATGATCCGAAGACCTTTATTAAAAAATACGGGTTAATTAATATTTAACTTTTTGAAAGAAAAGAAGTTAATTTTTAACTTTTTCGTTAGCCGTAACTGAAAAAAATTATCCGATAGCCATAAAAGAGCCAAAATTTTAGCCGATAACCGTAAAGGTCACCAACCCATTGAGACCCTCATTTCCGAGACCCCCAATTTTAAAATTTTCTGCTGGGGGAGCAGTAAAAGTTGTAATTGTAATTATATTTTTCTAACTGTCTTTTAAAAGTTCTTTCGACCTCCAGTGCCTTGATAGACTGCAAAACAGTCCGTATTTTTGCGGATTCAAAACGTGCGAGCAGTCAAACGAAAGGTCTGGAACGAGGCTGAAAACAGAGAGCTAGATTTTTCTCTCGCCTCACGCGCCTTACGGGCGTGCAAGGTTCGCGTGCTTCGCACTTAAGACTCTTACGCTACGCTTTACCGATTTCTTTACTGATTTTGAGGAAAAAAAACCCGACTGTTTTGAGAAAAAACCCTACTGTTTTGCAGTCTAGTGCCCTGACCTTCTTGACCAGGGCTTGAGGACTCTGGGTACGAGTTGAAGGACCTGCACTACATGACGTCATTCCTATACTGCTAAGCCGCTGTCATTCGATGAACGCGGTCTCTTGTGCGCAGCAATGGCTGACCCGCGTGGTGGTAAATGAGATTTTGAATCGAGAATCATGTAAAGAAACGCAATTCTCTCACTAACAGTCATCATGAGAAACAAACCTTGAACCCCAAATACCCTAAAAAGCAGCAAGCTAACAGTCTTGCTTTACAAGAATGCCGTCTTCGAACATCAAGCGCAAGAAAAAGCCGGTCCCCAATAGTGCTCCGAGTAGCAGTGCTGGCAGTTTCACCGAAACAGCGATGGATGAATTCTTGGCTCGTAAAGACTTGTTCAGAAAGCCCATTGCTAAAGATGGCTCCTGCCTTTTTAGAGCAGTTTCTGAGCAGGTAAGCTGCCATCTAGTCCATTTACCCCATTTTTGTTTTGAGTAATTAAGTATATATTATTTTTCTTTTAAGCTTATTTATCAGCTTACTTTTGGAGTGAGACATGTTTTAAACGGACTTTTTACTTTGAACATGATCAAGAATCCTTCATTAATTTGCCGTCCTCCTGTTATAAAGAATGTAGCCTTTTTTGTCTCTCTTTTCTGCGTACTTCACGTTAATCATGGTGTTAATGTGAGGTAACCTTGTAAGCGCACGAGCTTTTGATCGAAGTTTCGCTTTACGTATTACAAGCTTGTCTAAAAAATTAAACAAGTGTCCGTCGCGAATTTACTTTGTAATGTCACTCGCTTTTTCATTTCAAATCACTATTTACGATCAGTGTCTCTCAAAGTCTACAAGTACACAGTAATATGAACCAACCAGACCCCTAACATTGTTTCACACTACATTAAGCCAGAAACTCGATCATATGAGGTTCTCATTAAGCTTAATATCTCCTCTAGGTATACAACTGTCAAGCCAGACATCTCCAAGTTCGCAAGGACTGTATAGACTTCATGCGAAGAAACAAGGATAAATTTGAAGCGGTAATACCATTGTCCAAGGTTTTATGTTATTCATAACAGTGTAAACATTTGTTAATTGAATTTAAATTGTTTCTAAATCTCTGTTGCCTGTATTGAACATTGTATCTCTTGTTACAATAACTCTATGAAAGATGGATAGTGATGCTGTTTTCAGTTGATATCTTTCACCACGGGGGTTGTATGATTATTGGGTAGTAGTCTGGCACTTCAGTGAGATAAGTTCCTAGGGAGGCACTGGGTCCTCTGTTCCAGAAACTCCAATTTATACCATGGAACAATTTCCCATAAAGACATCCTGTTTTGGACCACAATTCTTTAATATTTTATACCCTATCCTGGATTAAACTGCTTAGAAGCTCTAACCAAGTAAAGTTGTGAAGTCAATCGGTATAATATCTAGATGCGGCTTCTTTCCTCCTAAATTGTCTTTACGTATGCTCTTCTATTCCTTAAGTTATCCTTATTTTTACTACTGCAATATCGTTTGGGCTTCGACCTATAAACCAATCTCCACCGCCTTGTCATCCTGCAAAAGCGCATTATTTGAATTATTAATAAATCACATTTCAATGCTCATACTGAACCCATCTTCAAGGACCTCAGTATACTAAAATTTAATGACATCCATTTGCTTCAACTGGGCCAATTTATGTATTCTTGCAAAAATTCATTCTTACCTCCAAAGTTTAATAACAATTTCTCTCAAAGCAATCAGTTCCACTCTTACAATACAAGAAATTCCTAGGCCTACCATCTACCATATTGTCGTACAAACACGAAGAAGTCCTCGCCCTTTTTTCAAGGGCCTAAGTTTTTTAATTCACTTGACAACAAGGTCATCAACTCTCAATCCCTCTCTTCTTTTAAGAAAAAACTGAAGATAAAATTATTGAGTAAGTATGAAAACAGTTCATAATGTCTTTCCATCTTCGACTTTTTGACTTCTTTTCTTCAATTGATGTGAAACAGCTCTAGCTCATAGTTCGAGGAGGCCTAGCCTCTCATAAGCTCCTATAGTTTCTGTTAGGTCTCCTCGCCACTTCTTTTTTTCTTCTTTTCCTATATTTTTTGTAATTATTGTGTGGCAAATAAAATAAAAATAAAAAATAATAATAATAAAAAAACCTTCATGGTGGCACATATTTAGCAATTATTGAATGAGGCTGAGTAGGATATGAAGAATTCTGCAGATCGAGGGGGGTGTTAACCGCTCAGCCACACACGCCTCCTTTCCAACCAGTGCTCATTCCTTAAAGCATCAATGAAGAAACCCTTGCTTGTAAGTCCCATGCATTGCTTCATTTTACTGTTGGTTTTTAATTATTGTTTTTGCATTGCTTTGCAGTTCTTGGAAGGACCATTTGACCATCACTTGTTTCGTCTCCAGAACCCAAAGGTAACAAACTTCAACTCTGTAAAGGCTTTCTGGAAACAGAATGGATGAAATTTGATTTTCAAGTGCACTTGGAACATCCCCAAATTCTCTTTAAAATAGTATTTTTTTAAAAAATAAGAATCTCAGTCTTCCTACAACTGTACTGTATTAACAATGCATGCACATATATGTATTGGTCAAATCAAAGCTTCAACACCCCCCCCCCCCTCCCCGGGCATACCCCGGGCATTTGACACCTTTGCTGTCCTGGGGAGGAGGGAATTTGATTATCAGAGTCTTCCAGGGGTTTGGAAATTTTATCCCCATTCAAAGGGTGGGGAATTTGAATCGTACCCTCGATTTCATGTGAAATCTCTGGGCGCTTTCCATTGCATGTGGTGAGCTATCATGGCGGACGCAGTGTTAGAGGATTTTCGTGGAAGAGATTGTGCCTTTGTGGCCAATTGGTTGCAAGGAAAGAGTGAAACGAGCTTTGTGCCATATTTGAAAGTATTTAGATTTTAATATTTTTGATATTGGATTCAGGCTTTGAATATATGAATGTATTAAGTTGTGTTTACACTGAAATACCATACGTATAGTCTGACCTACTGTATGCCCATGATTCAATACATCAATAAAAAGCTCAACAGAGGTCAATTACTTTGACCTGCCAAGAAATGGTGATGAATATCGCATGTATGGAATGTAGTAATCTCAGTAGGTGGGATTTTTTTTATAGAACGCTTTGTATGTTGCATGACACACGAAGAAAAGCTGAACATTTTTGTAACAGTGATTTCTGTTGCTTTGTACAAGAGTTTTGTTTGTAGTAAATACACCTTCAGTGTGTCTCAGTTTTTATTATATTGAATGTGAATTATTTGCTGTATTTATAAAGATTTTGTTTGAAAACTGAAGGCATTTCTGCCGTCCTTCTGTCATTCATGCGCCTGTGAAATGTTCCCGGGGTGGGGGCATTTGATCACCTGGAAGGACCCTAGTGTGGGCATTTGAAGAGCATTTTGGCTCGGAAGGGGGTAATTTGAACAGCAATTGTCATAAAAGTCAAATGCCCAGGGGGGGTTGCTGGGGGGGACGATGTTGAAGCTTCGATTTGACCAATACATAATGGCATGGGTTACATTTTTCTTTTGGTTGAAATGTTGCAAGTCAGTTTAATTTTTGTTTCCTTCTCTCTGACTCTGTTCATGTTCCCAAAACCTGTTCATAAAACTAGTAAACCACAGCATTATATTGGCAGAACGGCAGGTGTTGATACATTAGGTGTTTTTAATTTCTGTTGTTCATGACCAGTTTGACTGATGAAGACACAAGCCATACATTGGACATGGGTCCACATGGGTGGTTATAGGCGATTAGATAATTGCTTGGGTTAATTAATTCTTAGTTTGTCATACAATATTAATTATTTTGTCTTTTACGGTGTTTTCTGCCTTTTCTGGAAAGTTTATCACAGACTATCTCCCGCTGTTTGTAAATTTATTTGGATACATGTTTGTTTGTCACAAAGCAATAACTTTAACATAAAAGAGATGTTATTTCTCTGCACTAATATTAAGCTCTGTGGTGATTGAGGGTCATTAATTATTGGAATAACTAAACAGGATAGCTGCGATGCAGCCCCTGTTAACTGATATAAACACAATATAACAAATAAAAACTCTAGCATACAGTGATGAATGGTCAGTTCTTACATGTATCTCTTTGTTTGTAGGAATGGGCAGGGCAGGTTGAGATAAGCGCACTTTCTCTGATGTACAAGTGAGTGAATTCTTCTCTGTAGCAGGGAAGTACAAGAAAACACAAATCTGATATTTTTGAAGGGAGCAGTTTGTATGAGAGATCTAGCTTTCATCAGAAATTGCAAACCTTAATTCCTTGAATCAAAAACCATACAAGGACCCATATAATGTTTTTAAAAAAGCATTACAGTGGAACCTCATTAAAATATAACCTCTTTATAACCATGAAATTGGCAAGTTTCTTATTCGTGGGTAGCTTAGGAGAGCTTGAGAGCTTGTTTTTGCACGAAAGTGAGACTAATGCGGGTCACTTCTCACCAACAAGGTAAGCAAACATGAGAAAACTGCGGCTGAGTTGCCAAAACAAAGGAAAATTTCAAACATTGAAAGGTTCCGGAGAGCTCAAAACTTACTTACAGGCTTGAGAAATCATTGTTTCAAACATCAAAAGGATTTTAAGCTTGTTGTCACGGAGTAAAACAATGAGCCTATGCCCCAACCAGAAATTGACCAAAATAGTGGTTTGTGGGTGAGTTTCATAAAAATGTGAAGATTGTTTCATAATCCTTAAACAAGGTAAAACCCTGAAGTCATTTTAATTTTCTTTTCAATGATTGTTAAAAACGTCTTTAATTCATACCTTCCACTGGAGTGGACATACTTTTTCAAAGCCTACAAGGTAAATTGAAACCTTCTTTTTAGTTGACATTTTTTTCTAATAGAACGTGTTATTTTAACAAATTTTCAGCGTGCAAAGAAAGAAGTGTCCGATAGCCCGCGGCTAGTGGATTTTGCTATCGGGCTAGTGAATTCTGTTTTCAACTTGCCCAATGGGCAAGTAATGTTTTTTGAGGAATTTAAATGACAGAAGAACTGTGAAATCAGTCTGCTCATCAAAATGTTTTTGGGGCTAGTTGAAATGATGTTTGGGCTCGTAAATGTTAGCTTCAGCTTGCCCGAATGGCAAGCTGTAAAAATGACTTTCTTTGCACCCTGAAATTTTACACTTAAAAAGCTTAAAAAGTTTCAAAGTTTCTGTTAAATATGATCTTCCCAGACATTTTTGTTGTTTGAAACAGATTTCCCTTTGGCTTACTGGTAAAGTTTAAACTTTAAAGTCTTACTATTTCTGAGATTTCTACCGTTTTCCATCGACTCAGTTTTGACTTACTTATGGTTATTTTTGTTTTCACAAAGACATTGAGCTGCATTAGCCTCACAATCATGCTGAGAAGTCTCTCATCCCAGGGCTGTCGGGGAATAAGAAACTTGCCTATTGTTGTGAATTGTATTAATGAGGTTTACAGAAAAATTCAAAACAAAACAATACAGGTTTAAATCTGGGCTAAAATATTTTGGTCACCAAGCAACATTAACAAGGTCGTAATATAAATAGGGTTTTCGGAAGGTGTTGTTCTACTGTATCACTTATCATTTCCTGTGAAAACATCTACTGATATTATTTAGCATTATGATGAGTGGCAATTTTGGTTTTCATGTAAGTTTTTGTTATGTTAAAGAATTGTTGTAGCAGAACAGTAGAAGTTCACTTGAGAAACCCTAACAATGTTTAAATCTGTCCTTCATGTACTTATCAGATTGTTTATTGGTTATAGTCACGTTATTTCAGCACTCCTCCTTGGTGGAATGTCATCAGTCAAAATTGTTTGCCATGAGAACATGATCTGCAACAACCTTCCTTAAGAAGATGAAAAATATGCATGTGTACCTAAATTTGAGAAAGAGTGGTGATAATATTCGTTTTATTGTATGTATATTCTTTCAGGAAAGATTTTGTTGTTTATCAAGATGTCAATGCTGAACCAACAAAAGTGACAGACAATGACTTCAAGGACAAGGTTAGCATATTGTAGTAAGCTTACTTAATATTCTGGTCAGTCGACCTCAGTGTCTGTGTCCTGTTGTGAGTAGCCTGCGAAACCGGCCATTTCTTCCCTCTCCTGGCCGCTAGGGACGTTTCGTCTGCGCCTCAACAACAGAAATTCCATACTGATGATGTAAAATCTGTCCATAATCTGGTCAGGAGCTCTGATTGGTCGACGTAGTAGTTATAGTATTTTAGTTATTGTTTACAAATGACAGACAAAAGCCAAGAGGCCACAAATACAAACACAATGAATCTATTACAAAATGGTCAATATTCGTGGAATACATTCTTTTCTATAAGAAGCATTTGAGTTTTGCTGGAGCTCATTCGCAGATGAACCCAAAACCATATAACTGAACAAATGTACATTTGGAACCCCATGACTACCGGATTTATTAATATGTAAACTTTGATTAATGTCATCGTTATCGAGATTCTGTTGCTGAGGCGCAGACATCTCTCCTGGCAAAATGTCCCAAGTGGCGAGGAGTAAGGAAAGACCGCAGTTTTGGCGGGCTATATCGCGAGCCTCTGTATGGGTATCTGTGGACAACGAAAAATATGAATAAACCAAAAACTCTGATTGGCAGCACACTTTCTTTGCAGGTTTCATTGCCATCATTGCACAACTAACTTTGTCAAACTTTTGTCATGAAAGATATTAATCATTGTGGTTAATGTGTATAAAGGGTTTAGTTTTATCCCTTGTCTCAAACTTGATTGAAATCGCGATGTGATTGTGGTTATAATCTCTAAGATCATTGCTTCATCAATGGTGATTGTCACAACTTAGTTTTTTTGGAAATACCAACACCAAGGCTCTCTTGTATTTTACACTGCAGACTTGTGTTTTCTACATCTATCTAATATATATGTAGTCATCAGTTTATTTGCTACTACACCTACTGCTGCAGCTCACTTCCCATAATTTAAACTCTTGGTGTGGATTAAATCTACAGAATGATGGCTTTGTGAAGGTTCCCTTTTTGTAGAGATGTCTAATTTGATGATAATAATGTCTTTTTTCATTTCTTTAGAATTTTGTTCCAAGTGGAGGTGTTTTTTGACTTTAATAACATGACTGGTTTATTAAGGCACTTTTCGATGGCCCCTTCAGTGTGCTTACTAATGGGCTGTGACTGTACTTGGCATTGTGCTTCGCAAATTATTTTTTGCCTACCCTCTCGTAAGAAATAAAATGTGAAAATATGTCACTTATTCATGATTTTGCTATTTTATGACTAGATTCTTCTCTGCTACTCCAATGGAAACCATTACGATGCTGTCTACAGTGTGCAATTCCAGAAGGATGCCGCTATGTGTCAGTGTAAGTTTGAAAGTATTGTGCTGCAGTATGTAGTGGAACCCTCCAGATTGAGAAATTTTGAAATCGGCTACGGCATGGATTGAACTTCAGGCCTTTGGAATGTGATGTATTGAGAAGGTCCAGACATAATAATTTATCCATTTTTGGCTGGGTTTGGGCTTACAGTTCATTTTTGCATGAAAGTAAACTTCTCAGCTGGCCCATTTGGACAAGCTATGGCTATCATGTACTAGATGAAGAGTCATTTTTACTAGGCCAAAAAAAAATTTTGACTAGCAGAATTTATAATAATCAAGTATGAGTTATTACTTAACTACAGCATCAGTTAATTAATAACTTGCTTGTAATATTAAGAGTAATAATTTCACTATGTCAGATCAGTTAAAAAAACAGCTTTTGATCCCCCATGAATTAAGGAATTTAAATAGTTAATTGCAGATAAATTACTTCTGCAATTTGAATTTGCCCAAAAACTTCTCGTGAAAAACATAACTTTGCTCATGCTCATGAGGCAAGTTACAGGTAAGAATAGAATTCATTTACAAGTTACAAAGTCCATTAGCCCAAGTTATTGGACATGACTTCCGTTGCACACTGCAAGACAAGAAAAAACCATATAGATAAGCTAATAAGGGAAAACTATTCATTAATCCATTTTTTTTTTCTTTCATAACAGCATTGATGTATGAGATTCTGTACCAAAGGGTGTTTTCTGAACTTGACAGGAGAGAAAATTCCTTTAAACAGAATCTTACTCCTGACACAAACAATGTCTCAACGACATTTTATCAAAATGGCTTTGGAGAAGATGATGGGGCTTTCAAGGATGATGGTGAAGATAATACTGGTTGGACGGAGGTCAAGAGCAGGTCTAGCAAAGGTTGGTTGCCTTCCCGGGTGGGGGGGGGGCACTCCCATACATTACCTATACTGGTATGTGCCGCCCAAAGGGGTCGTGATTTTGAAGCTCCTAATTTAGAACGGGGTATCCATTTCAGAGGCGTTTTCTAGAACGGGGTATAATATTTCGAACGCACGAAAGCTCTACTTTTGTAAGCAGCCATTTGAAATTATTCAAGGACAGATTGCTTTTAAAAATACGGTTCAATGCGCTAACAAGCAAACTGTTGGACTCTTGTTGCACCTTAGAACGGAGTATAAAAAACTGGCCCATTTCTAGAACGGGGTATCAGTTTTAAGGCGAATTCTAGAATGGGGTATAAAAAATTGGCCCATTTCTAGAACGGGGTATCAATTTCAGGGCAAATTTTTTCCAGAACGGGGTGCCAATCTGGAGTCCCGGGCGGCACATACCCACCCAAAAAATACCCAAGTGCCCCCCCCCCCGGGGTTGCCTTGTTTCCACTGATTTCATTAGCCTTAACCCTTCAAGTCCCAATATCAACAAACAAACTCGCCAGACGGATCAATATATTTTTGTGTGGCTAAATTGTTATTTAGGCAGGGTTAACCTCGAGACAACACTTGCAGGTCAGTAGTTGAGCCCCAGGCATGCAGGCCTGTGCGGGGTGGCGGTGCAGTCTTCAAGGGCTGACATGTGTTGGCATATTTCAGCTTTGCTTTGTGATTGTTGCGGATCATTATTAGTGACGGATTGTGATATCTGCCATCCATAACAATTTATTGGTTCTGTGAAAATTCATGGAAAACCCAACTCTTAAATGTTTTCGATTCTTGGAAGTCATATGTTTTAACATTTCTTGGTCCTGGAAGCCATAAAACCAGTATATAATTACGTTCAACGCACTTTGGAAACAATTCAAGATGCCAAACAATAGAAAGATAATAGATGCTAATCAGGGTTGTCAACAGTAGCTGGCTGCCGGCCAAAATTGCCGCCTACTTAGTTAGTATCAGCCAGCTACTCTGCTTGGCATTTCTCTACAGATGGCATTTTTTAAATAAAAATCCCTGGACTGGCAGCTTACTTTGACAACTCAGCCATCTACCTCTAAACTTTCTGACAACTCTGTCAGCTAATTAACGTCTTAGTTTCATATAATAATTGTTATAGCCTGATTCATAACTAAGAATTGCTCTTAGTTAAGAATCTGAGTGGAAAAATTGTGAATTTCTGTAAATTGATCCCTTAGGGTGAGAAAAACGCTGGGATACTATTTTTTCGGTTCTGTTATTTTAAGACCACGGTCATATCAATGTTCCACTGTGCATTGATTACAGTTGAATCAATAATAATTGTTTTACTATTCTTCTCTAAGTGACTAAACTTTAAAGGGTTGCACCTTCTTTTACAGCTAAGTCTGCTCGTCAGAACAGAACTTTTGAAGAGGAATCAAAAGAGGAGTCTGTTAAACCAAACCTGGATCAGAAACATGGATGGCAAGCAAAGCGTTCACTTGATAGTGAACTGTATCGCAATGTGGAGCTAGAAGTTTGGGAGGATTCTAAGAATGGTAAGTGTGGCCTATCTTTCAGTTGCCAACTTAAAATTGATGCTCTGGTGCAGAGCTGTCAATTAGCCTGTTCCAGGCATTCAGATAGTAGAGCTCAGAGGTCAGATGGTGGGGAGCGAATTGAATCATACGCGGGAAAAACTAGGGGAGAAATGAGGCGAGACTGGTCAGTTTTCCGCCTGCACTCTACTTTCTGAACACCTGGAACAGGCTAGCTGGCGATAACAGCCAGGGGCCCAAGGCTTTCCCCTTGCTGCTATGAGCTTGCCTCTCTCTACTTTCATAGGAAACAAATGTAAAATAGGACCGATACAAATTCTTATACCTAAAAACTTGAAATCTTAGGGACAGCTCTGCCTGGAGTCACAAAGAGGATAAAATATGAATTAATTCTCTAAGTCTTGCATGACAACTAGTGTATATGCTAGTAGAGTAAATTAAAAAAAATGTAGGCATTTTAGGAAACTGAGCCCTTTGATTCTGTAGATTGCATATAACCTACTTAATTATGCCCAAAATGGTGGGTGTCTGTAAGTTGGAGACAGCCTAATACAGTGTCTCATCATTGTCATTGTCATGTGTCTTCACTCCAGAAGGCATATAAGGTTTCTGTTACATGTGACCTTTTACTAGCCTGTGCCAAGCTCTCAGAAATTGTAGGGATGTCACAAAAACAAGGCATGCAAAAATAAGACACTTGTGATCTGGCAGGTGGGGGGTGGGGGGGATGGTGTCGGAAAAAGGAGAGACTTCTACCACCTCCTTTCTCCTCAGCTCCCCAGCTTCTTTTTCTTTTTAATAAGTTTTCATGATCTCTGCTTGTGACTATCTTGGAGCCTAGAGCAGGCTACTTTTAACACGGTAGCAGTGTTAGCCCCATACCTAACCCCCAACCTGGAGGACCGGGAGATCACGCCTTGTCTGGTCTGTACTGCTGCTGTCTGGTCTCTACTGACTCTAGCTCTAGGGGTCACAGAGTGAGAGATGTACATACCACCTCCCCTCGGTAAGGTGGCAATTCCATGGAGGCAAAAAGAGAAAGACTCTGTTATAAGTTATAATCTGGGGTCAATTTAATAAAACTATTACAAGTGTAGCTATTGTCTATAGACTCTAAAACAATGGCACACTAAATTACACTTATAAAAGTCTTTTTAAATTGGCCCCTGGTTATGGCTACTATTAACAAACTTTTAATATATGTGTGAATTTTATATCATGTGTCTTAATAGAAAGTGTAATGTGAACATCTTTGTGTATTCCTCAGGGCAAGAAAGGGAAGATCGTTTTTATGCAGCAAGCATCCAATACCAGCCTGGGGACAAGTGCTTTGTAAGTTGACTTAGGTCAAGATGATGTCCAAGTTTAATAATAATAATTATGGTAATTCAATAAAATAATAGACTTTCTTGTAACTGCTCTGGTTAGGAAAATATGATTATGATTGTGTGTCCGAAGGGGAAAGTTAGAATGTGAGTATAAGTATGCATGTTAGCATTTTAATGGTAATTGATGTCTGTTAATATCTAACCTTTTTTTTGATGTATTTTGTTGACATGTTTAGGCGTGGTTAGGACAGCAAGATGTTGCAGACAAAGTTTATGAGGCTATTGTTGTTTTCTCTCTTCCGATTCAAAAAAGTATTGAAGTAAGTCAAGATACAAGCCCACTCTTTTACTAGTAGTAATCATAGATGACTGAGTGTGTTCGAGGTCAGAGTTTGTCTTGATTGGATGTGTTAGTTAGTTTCGGCTCGAGACAAGTGTCATTGAGTTTTTCCTGTGAAAGCGAGTGTTCGTCACTTAACCAATATCAGGAGTGATCAGATGGCAAAAACCCAAAAGTTATATTAAAAAAAAGCTTCCGTGGAACCTCGATATAACAAACATCTATATAACAAAGTCCTCTGCATTAAGAGCGATTTTCTTTACCCCTCCCTCATATTTTAACTAAGATTAACTATGTCAGTGTTACATTAGAATTTGAAGTGCTGTTAGTTATAGCGCATTCTATGTAAATATATGACCAGAGTAATGAATCTCAGTAATGTGTCTCCATTTGCCTCAAACACAAAGCTCTTCTCTCCACCCTGTTTTCGCTCCTCAATTCCATACTGGATTGAAAAGAACGGGAGTTAAATCTTATATTTTTAGTTTCTTTTTCTTATCTGTGATGTTCAAATAACTGTGAAGCTGTAACTAGCCTTCGTTTTCAATCTCAAGTTATTTGCCCTTTTCCAGGTGAGGATTCCAGAACTTCAAAATAAAAGGTAATATGTTTACAGGGTTTTATTTTTGTGCAAGGTTGCGCGCATGTTTTTTTTTTTTCTTTTGTCGCGTTGGGTTGTAGAGCGTTATCGTTATTTGTATATGCGACGAAGTCTTTTTGAAAGAAAGAGAAGAGTCGTCACTTTTGTATTTTTTTTCTGGTGTTTATTTATTGATATTGCAGTCCTTTGTTACCCTGGGTAGTCACTTTTTAAGACTTAACAAACCGGAAACCGCGCTTGAAAAACCTCTGGCATGCACCCAGGGTACTTCTACGTGTATTCGCCACTGTAAAAATCAGATGGAAACTAGGACGAGTTAACTTTCGCAAAGACTTCTGGGACTGTTTCTAGGGAAAGGAAAACAATCAGCCAATAGCTGACCGGCACGTCCCAAGTAACCATCCCAGAAACACTTGCGGGACACATTTCCGCTCCAGTTGCCTTCCACTTGCCTTTACGATACAAGTAGACTACGAGTAGTCCCCCATTTTTCCTCAGGGATAGTAGAGCGAGCGAAACGCGAGCGCGCGTGAAAATCACCCCACGCGAGAAAAGCCGACACGCGGCGGGTAGAGAGAAACGGCTTTTCTCGCGTGGGGTGATTTTCACGCGCGCTCGCGTTTCGCTCGCTCTACTATCCCTGAGGAAAAACGGGAGACTACTCGAAATCTACGATACAAGTTCTCCATCAAGGCTTGGTGCATCAAACCAACCAGGTGATTGAGTCATATCCCTTTGTAGGGTGAAGATGCAGCTTCAAAATAAGCTAACGGAAAAATAATAATGATAAAAATCTCCCGTCAAGTTTGAGTGGAAAGCTCCATTTTCTTTGGGCGCATTATTTTGGAGTTTTACAGTTACTTACTTTAGGGCTACATTTACGGTCTGACCTTGGATGTCTATTTGCAGCTTTGTGATTCCACTTGAAAATTTGAAACCCACAGCCAACCAGCAGGGTAGGTTATGTAATAGTTTTTGAGAAAAACATGAAAAATGAACATTAAGATTTACTTTCCAAAGTCGAATGCCTCTTTACGGTTACCTCGTTAGTAAGGACAGCTTTCTTTATTGCTGTGGAAAACCCTTCCATTTAACCCGCTTAATAGGGACACCCGCTAATGCGCACATCGACACTTTTTTCTTCTCCATTCAACAGATTTTTGTATAAAGTTATGACGGAATCCATTTGGAAATTGAGTAATTTTGATTTTCAGTGGACAAAAACCTTGTACCAGAAGAATTTCAAGCACATTGCATACTTTTTTACACTTTTCGAGGGCTAAAAATGTAATAAGTTATATGAAACAACACCAAAGAAACGGTTTTTATGGGAGCCTGAGAAAACAAACTTCAAAATTTCACAAAGTGAACGAGTTTACCGTGTTTTCTCAATTCCTGGGAAATTTGAAATTTATGAATTTTTTTCGGCCTCCCATAAGAAATTGTCTTTAGTGTTATTATAGATAACTAATTATATTTATAGACCTTGAAAAGTGAAGAAAAGAATGCGATATAGCTTAAAATATTCTGGTGCAAGGTTTTGTCCACTGAAAATTAAAATTACTCAGTTGTTACTCAATTTCCAGATGGATTCCGTCTTAACCTCTTTAATACGGACTCTTCGTTGCCAGCCGTGTGCTGCCATAAGCCTTAACTTTCCCGACGTTAAAATGACACCATGTCGTGGTTTACAGTGCCGCAGTATACTGACGGGAGCAGGCAAAGTGTAAACCTTATGAATTTCTGACTATTTTAGACAACGAATAACTCAGTTGTGATGGAAAGAACGGTTTTTGAATAAGTGATGAAGAAATGAGCAACTTCTGAGTGTTTTACGGACGTAGTCCGTGGAACAAAGCCAGGTTTCGTGTAACCCTAAGATGCTTAATTGGACGATGCCAATGTCCTGCCCCGCACACTACAGACATTTTTTATGCCCTTTCTGTCTCCGCGTTAAACGGGGGTCGACTGTACTTAGAACTTGGCATATTTATTTTGTAGAGCTGAATTACAAAGAATTGTCAGGTTACTACAAAAAATCAGAAGCAACAGGAGGACCACCCAACAATGAAGGTATGTCTTGTATCACTTTTTGGAGCTGAAAAGCTATTTCATCTTCTACCTGTGAAAGTTTGTTAATTGTATTGTTGTTCTGAGCAGGTTTGCGGGATGAAGGAAAGCGAGGAAGGAGAAGAAATATGTCAGGCAGACCACCACCAAGAGGCGGCAGTAACTTTAAGGTTAAGTTTTGCATAATATCTTTATTTATTTTTATATATTATTTATTTATTTATTTATTTGTTGAGGTTGATGAGAGGAGCCCGCAGTGCTAATCTCTAGGATGCTATAACTCATGATTGGCACATATGTAGCCAACATTTGTTTAGACTTCTACTAAGAATGAATGGAATGCTTATCTATCAGTCCTAATGTGATCTCGCGAATTTTGACCTTCTATCACGTGAAACTTATGCAAAGTACCAGCAGCAATCCTGAAACTCGCCCGCACTCCCTAACCTTTGGTTATTACTAGCCTTTTATTTATTTATAACTTTTACTGTTTAGGGAGATGAACAAAGCGACGACACCTCTTCCAGAAAGGGTTTCCAGGTAAAAAATAGACACATCTTCAGGGTGCAAAGAAAATCATTACCATTCGGGCAAGCTGAAGCTAGCATTTACTAGCTCAGACGTCATTTCAACTAGCCCCAAAAGCTTTTTGACGAGCAGAATTGATTTCACAGTTGTTCTGTTATTTGAATTCCTCAGAAAACATCACTTGCCCGTCAGGCAAGTTAAAAACAGAATTCACTAGCCCGATAGCAAAATCCACTAGCCATGGGCTATCGGACCCCACTTTCTTTGTACGCTAGACCAATATATCCCCGCTTTTACTAGAAGCTATAGTCAATCAAACAACACCTGCAGTGGTCAAGAAACACCTTTTAGACGTACGAATCAATTTGTAGCCTGTGTCTACCAATACAGAGACAAAGTGGTCGTTACTCACTTGATATGTCTTATTTTGCAACAGGATGATTCGTTTCCAAGACAGCGGCCTGGTGCGGGGTCACGTGACAAGTTTTCAAGAGGAAGAGGAAGAGGACGTTACCAGCGAGGGCGTGATGAGCGGGGTCTGGTGCAAAAAGAAGCTGATGAAGAGGCCAAGCTGCAAGAGGCAGTAAGTTGAATTTTATTATTATACCCACACTCATTTAGACTGTTTGTTTTCCTTGCAATTTTGCTAAGTTAAACCTCCCGTAAGCGACCACACACAATGCGAAGACCTCTAAAGGTGACCGCTTACAAGAATCGAGCCTTGACACTGCTACGTTATGGAGATAATCCACCGTACCTAAAAATATGGCGACTGGTACATTTACCTACAGTTCGTAGCGCATGAAAACCATACAATTGCTCATAAAAACGCACAGAAAAGTTTTATAAACTTTAAACCTAGGACAGGCAATGTTGCTATTACAGGGACGAATTCCCCCTCCCCCGCCCCCCCAAAAAATATATGACTTTATGTGAAATTGGCCGTGTTAGGTTCGAAAGGAATTGTCGTAAAATGTACAGCCGCCATCTTTTTCCGTAGGGCTGATTTTTTGCATGCAAGGAGTTCCATGCTGTCACTAAAAGTTCTTAGTCTGGTAATACTCTAAGAGCATAGTACATACAGCGAACACATAGATCACGCCACGCGTCAAACGATCGTTTACAAGAACTTAAAAACAGAGGAAAATCATTGAACTGTCACCCCCGTTCCCTGTTAGTCATGGTCGCTTTAAGGGGTCGTTTACAAGAGGTTCTGACTATAAGACTTCGACTGAGAAAGTTTTGGTGGTTTGGATAAGTGTTCGCTTATTAAAGGTTCGAATGTAACTCATTCTGAATCGTCTTTTGCAGGAACAAGCTAAGTTGGCAGAATTACAAGACAAAGATCCTGCAGCATTTCCAGCCTTACCTGTAGGTTACTTTTACGTTATATTAGACTACTTGCAGTCCGCCTTTTCTCTTAAAATCCCTCTAGTTCTCATCCCAGTCAATGCCATTTAAAAAAAAAACAAACGCTACAATAAGGGATAAGGACATAGGCCCTAGTTTATCGCGGCTGGCCTGTATGGGTTACGCGTGGAGTAAATTTCGAAAAGAAAAATTGTAGACTGCTCGCAGCCTAACGTTGTCTACTGATCGCTTTGTTTTGTTTAAGACTAGGTGTACACTAGACGAGAATTTTAAGGATTCATAAATGTGTTCGGAGTCACAGGAATTTTAATTTACGCACATCTTTTAATCCGACAAACATTCTTTCGGATGCAAAGTGTTTAGTTGCGATTTCGGATTTAAAATGTCCAGACATGTAGCCTCCCAACGTTCGGACACGCGACCAAACGGAAACAAAAAGTTCGCGGGGACAAACCCCTAAAACAACTGCGTGGAAGGCCCCAGACATCTCCTTCTCTTAAGAATTTTACAAAGATCCGCCCCTAAACGTCCCCCAAAACTTCCAGTGTTTCGGACTGTTGCTATGAAAGGCGTTGACTCTCAGTCCCCAGGGTGTCTTTTATTGGAAGCTTAAGCAACGACGACGGTAACGGAAACGAGAACAGCAAAAAAGCAATTGGTTTAGATTGGCAAAACAAGCACGTGCATCACGCTTTTTTGTACATTTCTTAGCCGTCGTTGCACGACTACGACGTAAAAGTGCCTATTTTCACGTTTTGTCGAGGACGTGCGCACAAGACGACGACTTCCTTTTTCTTTTCCTGAACTTTGATAGTCTTATAGAATTCAACTCTAGAAAAATTTTCCAGCATTTGTCGAATTGAACGAGATGGAATAAACCCAATAAAGTTTGAAGTAGCTTGAATTCACTTTTTAAAGGAAGTTTTCGTAGCCGTGGTTGTTGCTTAAGCTCCCTAATAACGAGTGTTAGACTAACCTGAGATCAGGCTCAATATTCGTTTCGCTTTGTCGTTAGAGAGAATGTATGAGAACCGCTAAAATTGGGCCTGATCTCAGCTTAGAGTCAGACGAGTGACCTGTACTTGCATGTCAAAGGCAATTAGAAGGTATAAATAGTTTATGTCATTTGTCTTCAACTCTAATTTGCGAAGTGGAATGAGCACTTGTTTCCTCGCTTTCATCGTTAGAGCGGTTTTCACTTGACTGTCGAAAGTAATTGAGGAATTGGTTTTGGTTTTGGTTTTACTACGCCGTTTGGTTGGCTAGTGTATTTACTTTGGTTTTGGTTTTACGACAGTCAAGTGAAAACCGCTCTAAAGAGTAAAGTTAAGACAAAATGATTTGTGTTGTGGTGTTTTCTTCAGACTCAACAAGCTGAAGAAAAGCCTCCATCTACTGAAGCAGGGCCTGATCAAACTCCTGCCGAGTTCTGGAGTCGGCTTAAAAACGCTCAAGGAAAGCCGTTACCCTCAATGCCGAAGGAACTTGATCAATCGGGAACAACAGAAAGCAAACCTGCCAGTACACCAGCCTCGCCAACCAATCAGCAGCCAGACTCGGCCAAATTAGAAGATGAGAAAAATGATGAGAGACCGCAGGCTAGTGAGCCTCGATCCCTTGCTGCATCTCATAATGGTGAAGTCCCCAACAAGCTGGAAGAGGAAGCAGAAAAAGGAAAAAAGGTGGAAATCAAGTCGGTGGAACCTAACAGTCATCAGGCCGCGTTACAAAGCAGCAAACCAGAGCGGCGTGAATCTCCCAAGCAAGAAAAAGAATTAGCGAACGAAATAGATCAGCAAAGAACAGATTTGACAACTGTGGACGTGAAAAGTACACCGCCCAAACCTGTGGTCAAAGAAGGGGCACATGTTGATGCGGAACCAGAATCGAAAACTGCTTGGTCAAACGAATCAGTAAAAATGGAGGAACCAAACGCTACCGCTAAGGAAACAGAAGAAGATATAAAGAAGACAGAGGAGGTGTCTAGTATGAAGCCAAACGTGAGAGGCGTTATTCGTATGGCCAACCTAACCAGTACTAAACCAGCTCAGCAAGCTACTGAAACTGAAACTCCACCTCATTGTCAAGAGGATGATATTAAACAAGTGAGAAAAGAGGAGACTTCAAGTCTTAAATCAGCACTTGCTGGGGAAAGTTCGGCCTCATCTTCGCCTGAAAAAAAGACTGTTAAATTTGCTGATGATCCCCCCAGTGAAGCTGGAGAAATCAAAGTTCTTTTAAACACAGGAAAGGACTTGAGTTATAAAGATGGAAAAGGGAAATCCTGGCTCCTCCCACTCTAGGTATTGTTTTTGTTTTCTTGATAGAAAGATCAGACGTTTGCAGTGTGTAAAGAAAGTAGTGTCCGATAGCCCGAGGCTAGTGGTTTTGCTATCGGGCTAGTGAATTCTGTTATTAACTTGTCCGACGGGCAAGTGAAGTTTTTTGAGGAATCCAAATCACAGACGAACTGTGAAATCAATCTGCTCGTCAAAACGTTTTTGGGGCTAGTTGAAATGATGTTTGGGCTAGTAAATGTTAGCTTCAGCTTGCCCAAATGGCAGGCTGTAAAATTGACTTTCTTTGCACCCTGCGTTTGTTAAGTTTCGTTGTTGTTGTGTAATAACGTGGTTAACAAATTGTTCCCAACAAATTTTGGCGCGAAATTCAGAGTCAGTAGAAACCTGTAGATGCAAGGACGAGAACGACTATACGAGTACGAGATTTGATTTGAAGTTTTTTCGCATATTGTCAAAAAGTAGACACCTCGGAATGCTTCATTTTACTCTTTTTCACTTGAAAAGTTAGCACTGTTATCTTTACGCAGGAGGTTAAGCCCTCTCCCGGTAGCTTCTAACGTTTGATGAGTTGTTTCCTTCGTCACTACGACTCGTAGTAGAACGAGGCCCGTATCACGTTTTCTCGCCAAAATGACCCTGGTTAACGCGCGACCTCTACTTAGTCGTAGTATTCGCCTTAGAATCTAAAGGTCTCGTGTAGGGAGCTTAAGCATTTACGGCGACGATATCAATGCTGTCGTGGTCGTTGTTTCTTAAGCTCCCTAAAATATATAATTTCATTGATCAAATTCAGTACAGGAGTGCTTTGGCAACGTTCATGTATCTGAGATGGCGTCCAGGTCCAAAAATGTTACGAAGCACAGTTGTTACCAGCAAGGAGGATTTCAACGGGAGTACTTTGTCTAAAAACTTTAAACTTTACCCTTTAAAATTTTTCGTGTGTTGAAAACGAGCGAAAACCTTTGAATTGTAAGCGTTACTTGTTACCCATGATATTAATAGAGCCTTTTTACATGACGTCACTTCTACCGCGTTTGTATCCCACAAAAACACAAAATACGTTGTAATTATTTAAGCATTAGGTTCGGCACATGAAAGTTCAGCGTTTGAATCAAAGCCGTTCCAAAGTCGCCTTAAAGGCAAAATTCCCGGCCGGGCTAGGCGAAAAGAACGGCTGAGCCGTTCCAAATTGAAACAGGCGTTCCTAATTGATTCAGACGCCGAACTTTTCTTGTACTTAATTCAGTGTATTAGGTTCGGCTCATGAAAAGATCGGCGTCTGAACCGGGCCTTACAAACAACAAAACGAAATATGAAAAACTGTTAGGCTGACAAGTTTTCAAAAACCACATTTGCAATCCGTTTCAATCTACGTCAGGTTTGTCCATTCGTGCTTCCTTTTGTATTTGCTGGAGAAACGTATAATTATCCGTCTTGGGTCATTATACGTTTCTGGGAAACTACCCACCTACCCCGCCCGTAAGCCAACATTAAAGGAGCTGTGTCACGAAATTCAGTCAATTAGGAAATTACAAAATGCCCGTTAAAAAAATAACCGCTTAAAACTTTAAAGAAGGTTAAAATAACATAACAGAAACAACAGATGCCACGGATGGGCAAAACTGAAGAAGATTGAAACGGATTTAAATTAGGGTTTTTGAAAACTGTTCAGCCTAACAGTTTTTCAAAGTTTATCCCTGCTGCTTGCAACTTCAAAAATTATGCCCAGGAGACATATCTGTTTGTCTCTGATCTCTGATTTTGTCATTTACATGTAATTTCTTTGCTTACTTTAAGTTCCATAGCGATTGAGGGCGAGTAATTGGCAAAATTAAACAAAATGAACTGGACTGCCGTGACACAGCTCCCTTTAACACCTACTTCTCGTTATAATTGTTTATTTATGTATTTGTTTATTTGCAGTTTCAGTTGTGATGAAGCCGGCTCCAGGTTCAGATTATTCACAGCAAGACAGTTCTCCAGTTTCCATTTTAACTGTAAGTACCCTGGTCTTTGCTCTTATCCCTTTAACTCCCAATATCCACATACAAATTCTCTAAACTTACCTTTATATATTACCTTAAAGAATGAGTTGAGAGAATTTGACAAAAGATCGAAGCATTTTTTCTTAAGTCATCATTTTATTAATTCTCATAACCTAATCTCTTGACAATATACGGATATCATTGGGAGAAAATTGATGTTGGTCACTATTGGGACTTAAAGGGTTATGTATAAAGGCGCAAAAGTATTGTTGTTATAGTTGTTTGTGTGTTTCCTTGTTTACTGCTCTGCAGTACATACAAGATGTTTATCTGTGGCAGTACTTGTGTGCGTTATGGCAGTTCAACTATACAGTACACACCCGCGAATAAGTGGATTAAGAACCTCCTTGCAGAAATTTTTCACTTAAATACCCAAAAATTCAAGAACCTGTTTAGCCAAGCAAGGTCAAGCAGGTTCTTATATGTTGGTCACTTTTAAATCATGATAAACGATTTAGTCAAGGAGCGTAACTTTGAGATTGTAAATTTAAGTATAATAAAAAGATACTCTTCCAAGCAGTATTTTGATTCGGTGATCAGTTTTGTTAGGGTTAAAATAATACAATTGTGGGTAAATGCTGTATTTTTAAAGACTGATCCCAAGTTTATTTCTTTTTCTTGTAATCAAAAATCTATTATCGCCTTCATAAAAATTTAAGAACTAATTAAGAACCTACTTAGCCTAAATTGCCAGTAATTACCCCAAACTACAAGAACGTATTTTGCCAGACTTAAAAAGTTAGGTTCTTATTCGCGAGTGTTTACTATATTGTTTCCTTTTTTTGTTTTTTTTCACAGAATGACAAGCCTAACAAGAACTCATCCGAAGATGAAGTAACCACCTCGATACGATCCAGTTTCAGCCGCGAAAAGAACACGAAACCGGTAGTCCCCTCCCCTCCCGCCTCAGACACAAACCAGAGTGCAGAAGGAGCAGATTCCGCATCCTCTGTGTACCCCACAATTTCTCAGCATCAATCCGTGACGTATCAGCTACCTCCTCTCCCTGTGATGTACACACCCCTACCAAACATGACCAGTCATCCGCGCATGCCCCAAGGGATATCTATTGAAAGCGATGGCTCGGATCTGCCAGAGGGTGAGTGTATGTCTTAAGGAGCTGTTCTGTCGCGACGTCTGTTGTGCGCATTACGAAATCCAGGGGGAGGGGAAGGAAGAAGGTATTCAGTCGCAAGTAGTGAATTCGCAGTTACAACAACAACAACACTTTATTCCGGCACAACATTGCATGGAGGGGATGGGGGAGGAAAAGCTACATTTTCCCCTTTTAAAGTCAGTAAGACGTCAAAAAGCCCCTTTAGGGCGAAGTTTCTCAACTCATTTTGTCGCCGATTGTAGGTCAAAAAAGGTAAATCTCCCTCTTCCTAAACTCTAAGAAGAATGGGTACAACCTTTGGGCGCTATGGATTCTGGGATCGTTTGGGTGTACAAGCGTTTGTTATGATTGGGCGATGGTATTCAAGGCAACCATTAACCAATCATAATTAACGCTTGCCTTCCCCCCCACCCAAAACGATCCCAAAAATCGTTGCGCCGAAAGCTTGTACCCATTCCCCTTATACTTTCTGGAGTGGGAATTGACCGCGTGAGACTGGGTTTGGGTCGAATTTTACTATGGGACTGTTTTCGGGGACGAATTCAATACCACTCGTAATAAATACAAAAATCGCTGGCGTCCCCAAAACGATCATGTAACACTTGTTTTGCATACTTTGAGGTTGTGCAATGTGCATGAAATAACACCGGCCAAAGCCCACGTGCAACGTCGAAAAATGAATAGCCCGAGAAAACAGCCGTCATTTCGGGACGCTTCCAATGGTTTTCCCGCGAAATGACGTCTGAGAAACGAGCCCAGAAATTCCATACTGATGACATGTTACTACCTTGATCCGGGTAGTGCTTCTGATATCATGAAGCAAATTTTCAGAAGCACTACCCAGGTCTGGGTAGTGATGCGTCATTTGGATGGAAACAATAGGTGGTGTCCCAAAATATGGGCAATTTTCTTAGGCTAAAAAATGAAAGGAGATAAATTTTAAAGTTTGATAAAGAAATTACAGAAAAAGTGAAAAATACGGTAATGTACTTGCTTGACTCATCGTGTGTTTTGTTTATTTTGCAGATCCAAATACTCTTCGTTATTTTTACAACCTTGGATTCCAGGTATGCATTAGTACGGATACGTTATCTTGGACGGCGAACTTAAGGGCTGATTTCCACTGTCGCGTAAAAGTTACGATCGCAAATCGAATAGAGGCAATGTATGAAAGGTCGCACGTAAGCGTAAAAGTAGAACCTTGCTCAACTTCACGTTTCATCTCAACTCTTTTTATATTGCCTCTATTTTGTGTACGTGATAAAAATTTACGTGCGTTAATGTGCGTGGCCAAAAACGCGTCAGTGGAAATCAACCTTAAAGGAGCTGTGTCATGGCAGTCCAGTTCATTTTGTTTAATTTTGCCAATTACTCGCCCTCAATCGCTATGGAACTTAAAGTAAGCAAAGAAATTACGTGTAAATGACAAAATCAGAGATCCGAGACAAACAAATATGTCTCCTGAGCATTATTTTTGAAGTTGCAAGCAGCAGGGATCAGCTTTGAAAGACTGTTAGGCTGAACAGTTTTCAAAAACCCTAATTTCAATCCGTTTCAGTCTTCTTCAGTTTTGCCCATCCGTGGCATCTGTTGTTTCTGTTGTGTTATTTTAACCTTCCTTTAATGTTTTAAGCGGTTATTTTTATGTTTCTCCTAATTTAACGGGCATTTTGTAATTTCGTAATTTGGCTGAATTTCGTGACACAGCTCCTTTAAGCAAGACGTTTTTGAGCGACGCACGTCAACCAGAAATGGACTTTGTGCATCCCTAATGTAACAGAGAGCTCTAAGACGAGAACGGCTAAGAGAACGAGATTTTCCCAATACTAAGTAGTGCGCGCGCGCGAATCAGCGTCATTTTGGCGGGAAAATGTGGTAGCCGTCGTCAGTCTACTTCCAGTTTTAGCCAGAATGTCGTAGTGGCGAAAACAAGTTATCAAAAGTTAGGAATTTTATCATTTAGCGACTAGGAGTAGGGCTTAACCTCTTTCGATGACAATAAGCGTACTAACTTTGTGGTAAAAAAAGAACCGTGAAGCTTTCCGGGGTGTCTATTTTTAGAGAGTAGGCGAGAAAACTTAAAATTAAATTTCGTCCTCGTAGCCGTCCTCATCCGTCAAGTGCTTGTGAATACAAAGCAACAACCGCATTTTTGCCTGGTATGCAAGCATATTTTAATATCTGGTTTTGGTCTGTGTTTATTTTCGCTAGTACCACGTCCATATGAGCCAGCAATGGGCAAACCAGCAGATGATGTTTTACCCTTCAATTTACCCAGTACCTTCCCAGGATCATATGCCGCCCCATCCTGCGGTGTCCGTAGGTCAGCAGCTTACCCCAGCAGTACCTCAAATGATGTACCAGCCTCAGCAAATGCAGGTAAATATCTCCTTGTTCTTTTCTAGCGTTCTTTCAGCACAGCCTTTCTTTCACTTACTCGATTTTGGCCTGCTCAGAAAGACTGCATAAATCGAGTAAGATCTTTGTGGAGCATGCGCTGTATGTTGCCAGGATACAGTTTCGAACCCAGGCCTAATACCCTTGAGCTTGGTAAAGAGGGCTCAGTGGTGACCATCGGTTTATCAACAAACCGATGTTCGCACTCCGAAATCAGTTTTACGAAAGAGAGCAATATTGACTAGTCCAGATCTTCGAGCTTCGGTGACTTCGAATGCTTGAGGCCAGTCAGGTAGGGCGCCCTTTTCTCCTCCTCTCTGTGGAGCAATGTGTGTATCTCTGTGCTCCTAACACTTAAAATCGTCGCGAGGTAAAGTATTTCGCTTGTTAAACTTTTTAAAGCTAATTTACCTTTTAACATCTAGGCATATCACCCATCCCAAGTCCAGCAAGTAGTGACTGAAAATACAAGTTTTTCTGAGCGGAATTCCTTAGAAAGGACCAGTCCTGGTCAAGCTTCGCAACAACAGCAACAGCAGCATCAACAGCAGCAAGGTATTCCTCTTCATCAGGGCCCGCCGTTCATCCACAACCAGCACCACACAAACTGGAGACCCCGGTCTATGACTGGCTACCAAGGAAAGCAGTCGCATGTTAATGCACAATTCCAAAATCAACAGACTCCTCGCGGTCCCATGCAACATGGGGGTGGCAACAACAAGTACAAAAAGAAATATAAACACCGCAATGATCAGTTCCCTTATGGTGCGCAGTCACATAATGCACAGAATCAAGGCACCATGATGCATAATACGCATGGTTATTCTAATCCTTCACAGACCGCTGGATCTTCTAATCCGTTCTATCTGCCAGGCGGCGACCATGGTGCCGGTAAGGGATCTGGAGACTACTTCCATAGCAGTCAACAGTATGGAAACTTTCACAGCAACGCATCATCGGGCATGACGCAAGCCCCACATACCGCCCCCAACACGCGGGCTCAGTTTCCCTAATGCGTGTCAAATAACTTTAAAATAGCCCATGATTTTGGGCAAATGGATTGCTTTGAAAAACACCAGTGCAATCAATTAGTAATGCAACTAACAGTTATTTCTGGGGCAGTGTAGAAGTTGTTTAGAATGACAGTAAGCTAAATACGCTTTTGATGCAATACGCCGCTACTTCACTGTCCTAGAAACTTAGTGTTATGGTTCTGTTACATTGTCGCGTAGGGTAAATGTCTTGATAGGGAATAAATTGAACTGTGACGTGTCAATTGTTGTCTGTTATTTTTAACCTAGTAATTTTTACCGCAATGAGGAGTTTTGCTTTCAGCTGGGTCGTAAAGCATTCCCCGAGTCTCGATCTAAATTTTGAAGACTTCCCACGTTTTTTGTTCATTGAAAAGTTGCATCTTAAAACTTAAATATACCTGGCATGTGTGCTATGGCGTTGCAAGAAACATCTTTGCGAGGGTTGCACCATGTAGCATATAACAATCGAAAATACAAATCAAAACTGAGCAGTTGTACTGTTCCGATTAATTTTACGGAGGGATGGATGATGAGCTGCGTGCCGCGTTGCAAGAACAGAAAGCAAATCTTCTATGAAAACAGGCGACATTTCGCGGCTCCACCACTGGCTTACCCGCGAAATGACGTCAGAGGAACGACCGCAGAAATTCCATACTGATCATGTGGTTATGAAGAATTAGCTGGGAGATAATTAACAGTTATTGGACGAGGTTGAGCAAAATATCGTGATCACGTCAATTATTTGTCGAAGCTTAAGGCTCAGGTAATTAATTGATGTGCGAGACACTACTGACAAATCACGATATTTAACGATTATTCCTCGAGCCCGAATGGGCTCTGAGTCAATAGCCCATTCGATCACGCTTTTCTCCTTCTTGCGATTGCTCTTGCTTGAAAAATGGCAGATTGCTTCGCTTTCCGAAGATATTCGTTAAAAAACAAACTTGGTGATGGAATGATAAGACCGAAAGCCCACCACGTGACCTGCAAATGACTGCTTACAAATAATGGTCTGTTCATGCGCAATGTCGTCCTACAAATAATATTGTGCTCATGCGTAAACCACGCTTTTCTCCTTCTTGCGAAAAATGGCAGATCACTTCGCTTCCGGAGATATTCATTAAAAACATACCTGGTCATCGAATGATAAAACAATTATTGAACTCGGTTATCGTAAAATATCGTGATTTGTCATATTTGATCGATCTGCTCGCCACTGACAAATCACGATATTTTGCTCAACCTCGTCCAACAATTGTTAAATATTTACTGTACTGTGTAAATGTCGAAAAAGTTCAGTCAACTGATTAACACGTTCAATGTACGAAATAATTTCTCTGCCTTTTTTTGATCTCAGGCTCAATACCTAGCAAAAGTCAAAGAGCGTTCAGTTGCAGTAAGAAACAATAAAATAAACTACCAACGCTGAAGATTTTTATATGGAGAATTAACCTGAACAAGCAAAAATAACTTTCAAATTCAATTTAACAGCTGCAAGCAAGCATTCCTAGCCAATATGCTGAAATTCTGAACTAACAGCATCATAAACTAGTAGGGGAGGGAAATCTAGCATTTCTTAATGGTGCTATTTTTAATAAGATACTTTGTGCTTATGGTCATTTTATTTTGCCTATTTTGTTTAGTAAGCTGTTCCGACATTACTCGTCTTCTCAAATTTTATTGGAGCGGCATGTGAGTTCAGAAGCAGTTAATTAAAAAAACACTTCTTTTGGCGTCTTGAAGTCCTTTTTAATCTTTCAGCCCCTAATACAATGCACTATGAATGAATATCCTATTGTAAATATGATTCGAACGTGAGGCGGCTGACTGATAGTCAGAATTCTTTCCTTGGTGTTAAATTTTCGTATCATGCACTGAAAATGTTTGCGAAAGACCGCATGTTCAATCTATTTCTTCTGTCTATAAAACTGAACTGAAAAACATTCCCTCTCCAGTTTTATTGCGGTCAAATACGTAAAAGGTTTTATAGCGTAGCGAAATAAAAGGTATTGCTAGAGATTATTATATTTTTTAAATAAATTCCAGTCCCAGCTGAAATACAGATAACATCTACAATACGGCTAAACCAAATGCAGGCCGGGAGTAATACACAAATCTTGATTACCTGAAATACAGGTATCCGTACTGTTTATTTTTCACCATGCAAATAGCAGCCCGCGCCATAGTCGGTTTAGAGTGTTTCTGAAAATGACCCAAGGTAAATGAGGACAGATAAAAACTGAAATTAATAGGAGAAAAAATAGCAAAATTTAAGGATTTTTCAGTTTTCTTGGTTCAACAGACATTAGCCTTCAAAGTTTATCTATTAAAAGGTTCTTAAAATGTTACATGTAACTCCGCAATGGACAAATTAAGATACATTAGTGTATGTTTACAAATATCATCCTGACAGCGAACTGTTTTTATCATAATATATATAGCTTCATGAGTTGTTGTCCTATTATAAAAGAACTTAGCAACTACATATATCGAACATAAATGTAAATCTTTACATAATATTTACAATTCTCTCGTTGGTTGTTTGACTTGGGGGGAACCGATAATGCTGAACTTATTTGCCCAACAACTTGAGTTCAAATGTTTATCCGCTAACATAATTCCCCGCTGTCGAACTCGTATCTGAAAGCAGGTGTTTTTCTTTCTTCACTATAACAAATTTAGTTTCACAGTGTGACCGTTCTTTATATTTTAAACTGTAAGATGATTTTTTTAATATCCAAACATAAACTTTGCAGTCAATCTATGAACAAACAAGCTCAACACTTGTTCGTGCAATTAAGATATCGCTGCATGCATGCGCGTGTTTTTTTCCTTTTTTTTCTTTTACCTTGATTTCATGAATATGTTTCCATTATTAGAATTAATACGCGGTAGATAAGTTTTCCGCTGAATCGTCAAGTTTTCCACCTTGTGGTTAAGTTCGTCGGCGACTCCAATTTCCACATTTTCGCGGGTTTGTCCATTTTGCGAGCCAGGGATTAATGGCAGCTTGAAGCTTTCTGCTCCTTTCAGATCAGTCTCATCAACAACCAGTTTATCTCGTGACCTGAAAGTACTTATTTTTGTAACATGTTTTTGTTTTTGGTTTTGCACAGTGTAAAACTCTGGCATGCTTAAGCTTCTTCGCGCCAAACTTTGTTCACTAGCCTCGGTAAACGTTTTCTTATTAGGGTTTTCCCATTGCCTTTGCCTCTGTTTTGTTCGACAGCCTTCTTCGGCTTTCATGAACTGCCGTCCTTCGGTGGCTACTAATCCTTGACATACCCCACCATGATCATCAATAAATGGCAAAGAAACACTCCGTTTTCTGTAGCTTCTCTTCGAATTCTTCCTTGTGCCTTCTTCTTTGGAGGCGATTGGTAAAAGTTCATCATCGGTTTCATTAGCGCTTTGGAAGCAGTCATTAGCGTAATTGCTAATTTCAGCGTCGGCCTCTATGTTCTCCATGAATACCAGCGATAAACACAAAATTATCGACAAACACTGCTCTTGATACTCGGTACCTGATAATCCTTAGTGGAATTAAAATGAGTAATATCTGGTTCGGGAACCGATACAATAGTGCCTTAAATCTGCTAAAGGGCCGGCAAGGAATCACTAGCGCTCCGGTTCTTTTCTTTTTTCCCAGACTTCCGCCAATATTTTGGTTTCTCTACATGTCACACGTCCATGAGATTACATAATTATTCCTTTACGAAAAATCGCCGATGTCGTTTGTCAATGAAAGTCCCTTAAAATCTCCGTGGATTTGTAGCCTCAGTCAAGTTTCTGAGCAGTTTAAATATCAAATAATGTTATACTAGCAGAGGGTCGGAACACAAGGAAACCGTTGTATGGATCAGTTGTCCGACTTAAAAAGGGAAATAAAACATTTTTTTAGCAGCATTCTTGTTGTAACTTCCTCGCTAAAGTATTCTCGCTTCTTACTATTGGACAGATCAAAAAGTTTTAATCGATATTGGTTTGTAATCTCTAAGCAGGTGGTGAACGTAAACATTGGCGTGTTTTCTTCCTGTCTTCTTCGCACTCTTCTAAAATTATTCTTTCAAACTTAATTAGCTGTTTTGCCAAATTCAAAGCTCAACTCAGCATCACGTCTCAGACGGATAGCTTGCAGCTGACATTGCCGGCACAGGGCAACCATCCTCTGTTAGTTTGGTAGCTTGGTGGCCAAGTTCTCTCTTGTTACTGTGGGCGAGATAGCCACCCGAGGATCATTGCCCCCAGCAGTAGGGAAGGGAAGGGTGAGCCCGGGAGATCATTAGGCCATGAGAGGGGTATGGGATGCGGAAGACCTGAGGAAAGAGCGGGAAATGGGAGTTCTTAAAAAGCGAGAAGCGGGAGATATGGGGCAAAATTACGCAAAAATGCTTAATACTAGGTAATGGAAAAGGGGATAAAAGGAGAAAGCCAGGGAACAGGAAGAGGAGGGACCTAGGAATGCAAAGTACGGGAGGAGGGGAGTTTTTTGGACCCTCCCTATCCTCCCGGCCCACCCAGAAGGATTGGTTTTGTTCAACCTGCATGAAGCTATGCACTACCGTTACCTCACGAGACGTTTTCATTCTCCAGAAAGGTTATGTTTCCAGATCAACGCCACGATCAGCTAATGTAGTCATGCATCGGATGAATTCTGATAGGATATAAAATTTCGTATTGCTCAACTTTCCATTTTGTCGCCTGGGAAAACAAAATGGATACGCATAAGCAAGAGAGAATGAGCTAGCTATTTCTTACTTTGCTGCTGCCCCTCCCTTGCCACTCCTCTCTGGTGACCACGTTTCTTTTGCACAGCGGATCCTACCACTAATAACACAAGAAAAAATGGCGGCACGTGATGTCTGTGTTGCACGGATTGCACGAAAACAGCTGACATTTTTCGTTCCTTTTGTCCTTTTGCAGTGAGATAAGGAAGGCAAAGATACCATGGCACTTAAAGAAGCGAGACAAATATTGCTTGATCCCATCGAAAGTACACCAGGCAAAAATATCACCAATCCGGATGACGGTTCCGAAAGCACCAACAAGTTCGTCTCGTCACTTGTGATCAACCTTGCATTGGCTTTGGTGGCAATTTTTTTGTTTTCTTTTTTACGACCAAGACTTAAACGCATCTACTCCCCGCGACAGCTGTTGCTTGATATGATGTTTCCTCTCGGGAAGCTTCCAAACTCGTTTTTCGCGTGGGTAATTCCCGCCTTCATGGCGAACGACGATGATGTGTTCTATTATGCTGGCATAGATGCTGTTGTTTACATGCGATTCTTAAAGCTCTGTATCAAGATATCACTTGTGATTATGCCTTACGGAATTGCAGTTTTGCTGCCTTTGAACTATTATGGCAAAGGAGGTTTAAATGGCCTGGATAGGGTTGCACTGTCCAACGTAACGGAAGGATCCCCGAAATTGTGGGCACATTTAGTTGCAGCATGGTTTTATACGGCGATTATTTGTTACCTTCTATACGAAGAGTGGAAAGTCTACATCATGTATCGTCAAGAATACCTTACTTGTGGAAAAGGTCACCAGTATGCAGTTCTACTGAGGGATTTGCCAGTCAAGGTACATAAACATGTTTACAGCAGCGTAGGGGGATGGAATATCCTTTTACTGCAAATACAGTAGTATCTCACGCAGAGCTTTATCACATTTTTGTGGTGAAAGTGTGAAATCTGCCTAACATAGTTGGATATCACATACTGTTGTTTCATGTACAGTTGTAAGCATCAATAGGGGACTAAAAACCAAGTTGTAATAGGGTGCAAAAATGACATAAATCACAATCCAGCAGAGTATTGGGAAACCATCATGGAGGGGTTGGGGTGGGGGGTGGGGTTGGGGGTGTTGTAACATTGGAAGCCCAGGGACAAAATTACTAAATAAGATGAACCACACTGAACATAACAGCTCTATTTCTTGTATTCCCCATTCTCATACTGCGCAAGCACATCAATTAATGTACATGTAAAACAGCTGTGACGTAACTTCATATAATGTAACACAACTATCAGGAAACAAAGTCACAATACAACAGGGAGTACTCCCCTATATGGCCTACACGGGGATGTGCTGCTGGACAGGGTATGTTTTTTTTACCTCTCTGTTATAAACAGGGTATATAATTTCATGGGAGTCTGTCATAAACAGGGTATATAATTTCATGTGAGTTTGTCAACAGGATATTACCGAGATGAATTTTGTTTATACTCTAAGAATACAAAAGCAATGGCTGGATGCAAATTTGCTTTATAGCAATTGCCAGTAAATGGCTTTAAAACAAGACAGTGTGCAGTTTGTTGTTTGTCCTAAACAGGGTAGTAAATTTTACTCTGGAATTCATGAATATTGAGAATTAGTGCAATTCAGATTGGTGCCATGCTGTAGACTGATTACACATGTACAGGCACACTGTAAGATACCCTGATGTGTCAGGTTTCTCCCCTGATTTCAATTCAGGTACCACTTTGATTTGGTCTTCATTGCCATGTATCAGGTACTCCCTCTCCTTCTGAGGTCAGATAACCTCCCCCCACTGGTGTCAAATAGCCCAGGGACAGTTTATGTCAGGTACCTCTACTGTATCTGTCAGGTGTTAGGTTGCATTAAACAACTTTCCTGGTCCCGTTGCTCAAACATGGAGTAGCAAAATGAAACATGCATCGCTCATGCAGCACTGCATTAGCAACTTACAAGCGTTGCACAAATGGCTACAGGAAGGCTGTATGATAACTGCACTGGAAACGCTGACAAAGTCTCGAAAAATGACCGCACAAAGGACGTGTTAGCGCTGCCAAAGTAATGACAGATAACTGTGCGAATCATGCATAAGCTATGCACCTTTTATCTTGTGGATAAGTATTAGCCAGGAAAACCAATTGCATTATCCAGTGGATAGAATGATCCACCTTTTTCACAACTGCAGCCTGTGCTTTACATATTGTGATCTTTAGACCTAACTGCAGTAGCTGGTATTTGGCATCAACAACTCCTTCCACTGCTAGCTGGAGGCAAAATGAAATGCCAACTAAGCCACTTGGCATCCTCAAAATACAAACACTGGTATATAGGTCATTCTTATTCAGGACTATTCTCTTGGGCAATGTTGTGTGGGTTGAGGGAATTTGTTTCTGCTTTGCATTATCTCCTGTTGCTGTACAGTCATGTTATTAATTAGGTACGTATTATTATGAAGATGGGTTATAACAGAAATAATACAAAATTAATATATCAGAGGTTTTTCAAAAAAAAAAATGTTATTGCTGTTTTCTTTTTCCTGTCAGTTCCAAAATGAACAGAGTATAAAAAGCTACATTGAAGAACTTTTCCCTGACCAGGTACAGTCCATCACAACTATCAAACAAAAATTTTAATTATTGTGCATAAAAGTGTTATGATGATATATTGTATCTTTTAATCTTACCCTGTTTGACCTACTTATATAATGTTCCTGTCTTGCCTGCAAAAGATAACTAAAAACACAATGCTTGAAATTAGACTTGTTAGCTTTGGTGTTTAATTCTGAATACTGCTCGCTGTTGGGGTGGCTAGGATTCATTTGACTAAAACTAAAGTCTGAAAAAAGGTCACGGGCAAAAAGACTGAGGTAGTTCATTTTTCTCTTATTATTAATCATTACCATCATCATTCATCATTATTAATATGATTATTATTGTGATTATGATTATTATCTTCTCTTGGTGCATGCTTCACAGCAGGTACATGTACGGCATTGCCGGAAATTTTAGTCCCATCATCAAGTCACAACAAGCTGCCTTATTATTATTATTATTATTATTATTATTATTATTATTATTATTATTATCTAAAAATAATATCATTAATTTAGTTTAGTTGAAATGAACCGGTTTTTTCTTAATGGAATAATTTTTCCAAATATGTGATATATTTTTAATGGAATGAATTTTTTCAACCTAAATTAAGTGTCTTTTTTTTTTCATCGAAAGGAATAATATAAATAGTGCTTTGCCTGAATAGTTTTTAAGCGAAATTAATTGTAAATCGGATTTTATAGTTAGCTTTGTTATCAATAAAAGGTTTGGGTTTTTTATCTAAATCATTATCATTATATTCATCATCATCATTATTATTATTATTAGTCCTTTGTCAGGGAGAGACAATCATAAAGAGTGAGAACGGCATGGTTCAACCAATATGGATCTCTATGACTTAATCCTGTAAATTTATTTTCAATATGTTCTATACTAATGTTCTGCCTTGCTCCTTAGAGTTTTTTCTCTACCCATGTACTAGGAACCCTGAAGGTAGATTTTGAATAAATTTTTCAGAAAGTGACTGACTTTTACAACAATTCTTTTTGTCTTAAGGTTGAAGATGTCATAGTGGTTGAAAATCTGTCAAGATGGCAAAAATTAGTAGATAAACATGACAACCTAGTTTGGAAACTTGAGCGTTCTAGAGTAAGTAAATGTAATTGCAAGTCATACTGGTAAAATGTGCCTCTGGAAATGATTTAAGATGTATTTACACTGCAAGGTAACAATCATTGAATCTTATTTTTTACCTGTAGGCGTACAGTAAATCATAGAAGTCTTATAGTGTTCTGAGTGAAGAGTTTGCCAATAATCTCATGGAAAACGTGTTTTAGCTAAGCAGTTTTTTTAAATGAAAGGCCATCCCCTTCTTTTTTTTCGTTTAGCGTCGAATGCATTTCCTGATGTTGGGTCGGTCGGTCGGATGGAAAAAAAAAGATCTAAAAAGAAAAATCACAAGAAGTCTCGGAAAAGGAGGCCCTGGTACCCCAGGATGAAGTTAAAAGTTAACATTCACATATTTGGATTGACAAAATGCACAGTATACGTACTGTAAGAAATGTTCCTGTTTTGTTCCTTTTTTCTCTATGCTGTTACTAAGCTCATGTTTCAGATTAAAAGTTAGAATTATTTCAAGAGAAGAATGGTTTAACTACATCGTTACTTTTTTTTTTGAAAAAATTATGCCAAAAATTTGGGTCGGTTGGACGACGCTAAACAGAGAAAAAAAAGAGGATAGCCAAAAGGAGATCATCTCCATTATGGATGCAACTTTTGCAGTTGTGAAAAGAAAGCCGGAAAAAATTCGGGCTTGTAAGGGTTTTGAACCTTTTGACCTAGAGCTGCAATACCTTAAAGTGCAGTGGTCTTAACTTATGCAATAATAATACGTTTTACCTGTACATCAAAATTATTAGGGCTTTCTACACTGAAAGCCTTGTTGCCTTAGTTATTTCAATATTAGAATAAATTTCACCTATCCAATGAGCAAGTCCCAGATACTGACTGCAGATGTGGTTATTAAATAATTTTCAACCTTGCACGCCATGGAGCCTCCAGTTGCTCTGTGGTTACAGCTAGAACTCGGAGGGTTGTTAGTTTGATCTTCACCTGGAGCTCGAAATTTTTTGGGAGTTTTCCGGTATAAGAATTCTCTTTCTTCTAAATTATATTGTACAGTCTTGGTCTTGTGCGCTGGTGGACGGCCGATTTTGAGCAAGTCCTCGGTACAGTCCACTATGACTGGTGTAGTTATAATAAATTTCGACCCTGCTCACCTTGAGCCTCCAGTAACTCAGTGGGTAGAGCATCCAAAGTAGAACTCGCAGGGTCGTGATTTTGATTCTCATTCCCAGCTTTATGGTATAAGAATTCTCCTTCTTCCAAATTAATTCTATGTCTATTTAGTTGAAAATGTAAAATGTCTTGTTTTGTTCCCCTCTCAATTGCCAGCTGTCTGAAAAACTGACGGCAGCTTATAGTTTTGATCGTCACAAGGATGTGCGGGTCTTCTCCTTTGTTTTTAAGTTCTCATAAGGGATCACTCAGTCTCCCTTGACAGCAGTTGAATGGGAATGCTAATCATTTGTTGTAACTTTGAATGTCAGATAAAGTAATAGAAATGAGATTATTTTAAATGTTATTTTACCTTAATGCCCTGGTAATTAACAACATATTTATTTAGGTCACCATCTTCAAATGATTGCTTTTAGGATGTGGCCATTAAGGAAAGCTGTAGTTTTACTTTCTGTCTGTTTTCCCAGAAATGATGTAACATAAACCTTTGAATATAATTTCACTATGGAATGTGGCTTATTATGATGCTTTTGATATGTGTTGCTTTTAGACAATTTATGAAAAAACTGGAGAAAGACCTACCCACAGAGCTTCCCCATGTGGTTCAGAATTAGACTCCATTACACAGCATGAAAGTGATTTAATGGTAAATGATTAACCTTTTTGTACAAAGTATGACATTAGTACAATCAGGCCCCAGTTGTTCAAAGGGTGGATAGTCAAAAGTGCTATCTAATCCAGTGGATAATATAATAATTTCCCCAATACTATACAACTTAATACCCCAAAGGGGAGGTGAATAGTGGCGGTATACACCGAGATGCGAAACCTCGAGGTATATATCTAGCGCTGTTCACCAACCCTGAGGGGATAGTTGTTTTAGTATTTACCAGAAACACATAAGGGGTTGAAACGTGTAACTCTCATATGTTTGCTTTGTCCGATGCTCGTGATTATTCATTTTCAAAAGTACCATATTTGGAACGAGAAGAAGAGATAACTGACCAATCAAATTTCGGAAACAACTTGACGTAATTTTCCTTCAGGTTCCCGCGCCCGCTTAAAAAAATGGCCAACAAACGGGGGAAAAACTCCCAAAAGCCGAGAAAGCTTTCAAAGGTTGAAACCAGGAATATTACCGAAACACTGAGCAGGATATTATTGCCTTACCACCCGGGCCAAACGTAACGTTATGAAACCCATTGACGGCCTCGCCTCGCAACTTCTTGAAGTTGTCACGTCAAAAAACGATGCCTCGTTGACCCTCTGCACAGTAAACTTATACTGCAAATAGGCTTTTAAAATTCTTATGTTAAAAGTCTAGGATAAAGAGTGAAAAATATTTTCGAATAAAATTCGTTAGCTGGGTATCGAAAATTGTCCAAAACCTGAACCTGACATCTTCGCAAAAAGTGATGCTTGTAATGAATGTGAAAAGCATTTTAAAAGCTCAAATTAAACTTAGATGTTGTAGTCACGATCGTGTTCTGAGCTAATTTTATGAATGAACAAACTCAAAACAATAGACAGAGAAGCCGTTTCTTGAAAATTTTTATTCAAAGTCCAAAAAGTTAATCCTTTAAAGCAATTCGGAAAACACTATCTGGATCGTGGATCCATTCACGCAAGTGGAATCGGCTAAGCACATGGCAAAATTCAACACAAAATCCATCTCAAATCAGGGCACATTTTGTAATTTTTCTTTAGCGCACATTTTTGGATTTTTAGGTTATTTAAAGAATAATTTTCAGGGAACTTGGTTGGGAATTTACTTGTTCACTTAGAAGAAAAAAAAATATCCAAAAATTTATAAAAAAACATAAGACGTCTATGAAACATTTAAAAATACATAAATTCCCTTTCAAAAACGTAATTGTCTTGGCCATAGAGTGCAAAATGTACCTGAAAATTCAGCAAAAACTTCGCTGACTTGGTTGCGTTTCAAAACAGACCATGGGCTCCGCCGTGAAGAAAACAAGGTTGAATTCCTTGAAGGACGATTTCTTGATGAAAAGATTCCCTTTCTCCACAAAAAGAAAGCTGAGCATTCTTTTGAACTTTCTCTTTCCATTTTTTGTCTTTTAACGGTGTATTTTTAACCTTGAAATGCAGAACTCTTGTCTTAAAACATCTGCATGGTCATGGTCATCATCGCAGCAGCCATTTTCTTGAAAATGGATATCCGTCACTAAGGTTTCCAAATATGGTCAAAATGAATATTCACGAGCATTGAACGCGAGTTACACGTTTCAACCCCTTCTGGGTTTCTGTATTTACCAAATCAGTTGGATAAAACCGAAAAAAAGTAACTTTTTGTAAATTAAAAACTTCACTTAGTAGGAACTTTATTTGCAATTTACAAATACTTTGGGGATTTTGTTAAGTACGATTTTGTTGCAAATTCAGCACGAAAATAATTTCTACCTACCAGTGAACACCGACAAGCCAAAGTTTGTCACCTATTTGGTAATTGCTTGTACAACTGTTTGATTTATCACACAAATTTCGTTGTCCAAAAATGTATCAAAACGAGATGGCATCATGCATAGGCTCCGGTCGCAAAATAGGTGAACAGCCAAGGATATTCCAAGTTATGCCGGAGCCAATCAAAATGCACGAAAACTGCTATTCACTTATTTGGTAAATACTAAATGTACTTATCCACTGGGTAGTGATTTATCTGGTGGATAGCTCAATTGCGCTATCAGGGGGCCCAGTTGTTCAAAAGCTGGATTGCAATCCAGCTTTTGAACAACTGGGCCCTGATCTCAGCTATAATTGACAAAAAAGTGTTACTCATGGTTAAAATAACCCTTAATACTGTTATGCGGTACAGTCATTGCAATCTAAGCTGGAGGCTGAGATGAATCGTGACCACTCTATCCTTCCTGCTGCTATCGTCATTTTCCGCACTCTTCGTATGGCTACTACCGCAGTCCAAGTGAGATGGGATAATTCCCCCATGACCATGAACATGGAACCAGCCCCAGAAGTGTCCAACATAATTTGGAACAACCTTGCATTTGGACTTTGGCGAAGGTACAGTAGTGTACTCTCTTGAAGAAATTCATTACGCTAGTAAGTTCAAATATATACTAAAAATGTTATTAAAGCACAGCCCGAAAGAAAAATCCTAACCGTCAACTAACACCTGTGAGGTTTTTAGTTTTGATAAAAAATAAGATGGCTGTCCGCATCATTAGGATTTTTCTTTCAGGCCATGCGTTTATAAGAACATTTGAATAGATACAGTGGTGTACTACACTTTCACCTAAAAGTTATCAGGCGTACCCCTCAAAATTTATTAGTTGAAAGTTGAATCTGTTAGTATGGTACATTTCAGATTCATCTCTTCATTCCTGCATGTGTGAGCATGAGCGGTGAATTCAGGTAGTTATGAAACTTCTGCCAGCTCAGTTTTCTTGAATTCGCTATAAATGTCTTCAAAGCAATTTTCTTCATTCAAAGATTTTCCAATCTAACCGAATACTGAGAAGTTGTGGCTAAAACTTCACTGTTTATTATGTGTGCAGGGATTTTGAATTGAATTTGATACTGGTTGCAGCAACAACTAACGTTCAGACTTAAATAAAACTAATCCCTGATCATTCCATGCCAAAGGGCCAATATTATTTTTTTCACTTTCCTTAACCCCTTAAGTCCCAATATCCACACATAAATTCTCCAAACTGGTCTCCATACATTTCCTTAAAGAATGAGTTGAGAGAATTTGATAAAACATCAAGGCATTTCCTCTTAGGTGACCATTTTATTAATTCGCATAACCTAATCTCTTGGCATTGTATGGATATCATTAGGAGAAAATTGATGTTGGTCACTATTGGGTTAACTATGCCTTTCTTACACATGTGGGAGTAATAATACTTTTTATTTGTTTACTTTTTGTGACAGGAAATTTTGCACAGCACTGGTTTATGTAGCTATATTCATGTTGGTGTTTTTCTGGGCAACACCTGTTGCATTCATATCATCATTAATTACATTAGAAAATATTGCAAAAAAGGTTCCTTTCTTAGATCCGGGTAAGTTGAGTTACATTATATAGTTACAGTCAACTCTCGCCCTGCAGAAATGTCACTATAACAGACACCCCAGTAATACAGACAGCAGCTAAATCCCTGGCCAAAAATGAATAACCGACTTGTGACTGAAATAAACCCCCTCTGTAATGGACTCTCACTAATGATGACACTAACCAGCGTGCAAAGAAAGTAGTGTCCGATAGCCCGGGGCTAGTGGATTTTGCTATTGGGCTAGTGAATTCTGTTTTTAACTTGCCCGATGTGCAAGTGGTATTTTTTTAGGAATTCGAATAACAGAAGAACTGTAGTCAATCCTGCTCATCAAATGTTTTTCGGGCTAGCTAGTTGAAATGAATTTCGGGCTAGTACAACCTAGCTACAACTTGCCCGAATGGCAAGCTGTAAAACTGACTTTCTTTGCACCCTGCTAACTCAAGGTTCCTACAGTGTGCGCTATTACAGTAAGGAGCCCAGAAGTGTAACTGCTTTTGATTTATTTACATTCTTTCATACAGATTTAATCCAATCAGAAGTCAGCTGGAAACTGTCCTTGACTTCTGATTGGTTAATTTCTGCATGAAAAAATGTGAGTTATTTAATTGAAGGAGGTCAGACTTTTGGGCTCCTTGCTGTAAGGGAGTTGACTGTGCGTTAAAAACATTCCCGTACCTATAAAGATAGACAATTTCCTAACCTTGCTGCTAAAATGAGACTCCTTCCATTGCCAACCTCAATTTTGTGCACTTCTGAGCTTGGAAAACATAGTATCAGTCTTCATCATTAGGGGCCTGCATAGCAAGCATTTCTAATTAAGATGTTATTTGAAAGTTGGAGCAAACGCAATAAAATGGAAGAGGAAGGGTAGGGTAAAAGAGGAAACTCCATTCTCGCTCCCGCTTCATTCCTTGTTTTCTTATGAGATTGTGTATAAAAGTATGATAATATGCTTGTTAAATAATATTATTATTGTTATCTATTATTTTTCATTCTTGTGGCAGTTCTGAGTTACTCCACGTTTGTGAGAGGAATTATTGAAGGATTTCTTTCCAGTGTTGCACTCTGGGTATTCTTTGCCATTTTGCCATTGGTATGTTTTTGTTCCTACAGTTAACTTGAAGAAATTTTAAATATTCATTATGGCGCTACTTAGCCTGTTCCAGGCTCCAAGATAGTAATGTGCAGAGATCGTGGAGTGAAATTGATACGAAAAACGCGGGGTGGACCGGGGAGTTGGAAAGTGTCTCTTCTTTTCCCGCCGCCGCCCATCCTATTTTTCCTATACCTTGTTTTCGCGACATCCCTTCTATCTAAGAGCCTGGCATAGGCAAGTCAATACTGTGGGTAGCAAGTGGCCTTGCAGCTGTATGTGCAAAATGTGTGTGAATGAGTAACTGCAGAAGACTGTAAGGTGTTGTGTTGTTGCTTGATGCTTGGCCTACTTTGGCAGTCTCACCACGTCAAGGAAAAGAGAATGTGTTTTTATTTGATTTTGCAAGCTGATGTGTACAACCTGTGATTTCTTCTTCTTTCTCCAGATTTTAGAGAAGCTCACTAAACAGGAAGGCATAGCATCTAAAAGTGAAGTCGCCAAATCTGTCTTAGGAAAACTTTACATCTTTGTGGTAATGTGGAATTTGTCTGTTCTTCTAGGGTGTACTTAATCACGAGTTTCGGTAGAAATTTCTTAATAATATATGAAATGAATATGTTACTTCGTGGAAAAAATCGGCTTTTTTTACGCTCTCGTTTTTGTATAAATCTCAATCGATTCCCCAAGAACACGTGCGCTAAATGAACACGGTACGCGCGCACTGTCCATGAGGTGTTCTATATTTTCAAATTTAATGGAATGCTCATAAGAATGTAGCTACTGTAAAGACATGTTTCACTGCTAATTCTCGTTGTTTTTGTTTTCCTTTATAGATTGTTAATCAATTCCTGTTTCTTTCTGCTGGGTCAGCAGCTTTGTCAAAAGTGGAGGAACTTGCTAAGGAACCTGTTAAGATTACTAGCTACCTGGCAGAATCTCTTCCAGCGCAGTCTACATTCTTCATCTGCTATATCATGCTGCGCTCATTTACTGGCCTTTCCTTGGAGCTCTTACGTGTTGTTGACCTTATTGTCATTCCTGTTAAACGCAGATGGTTTTGTTATACACCGAGAGAGGACGAAGCTGCATGGAGACCGCCCCCTATTCTGTACGATCGTGTGGTATGTCACTGTACATTCAGGCTGTACATTGTTCTACCTGCTTACATTTTTACTGCAGCCTTTGAGAAGATCCGCATCGGCAGATACCCCCAGGTCTTGTGTTTTTACAGTGACTCAACCGCCGCCCGGTTAGCTCAGTTGAGAGAGCGCCGGTCTGCTGAGCGCGATACCGCGGGTTCAAACCCCGGCCGAAACAAATCTCAGGGTCTTAAAATAACTAAGTAAAAAGTGCTGCCTTTTTGGTGACTTCTGCAAATGGTTAGACGTTCTGAACTTCTCGGATAAGGATAATAAATCATAAGCCACGTCTCACAACGCTTTCTCATGTAAAATTGCTCAAAATCGGACGGAATAGTACCCACACACACATCGTTAAGAGTACGTGGTCCCTGGGGTGTTGGTCTATGAGTCTCTGCCAGCATGTGTTTGGGCTGGTTAGAGTAGCTTGGAGGTATTCTGGGGGAATGATGCCACAACACAAATGTATGCAGCCAGAAATCAGGCTATTTACCTGGTTCTAGAACCCTTGCTCAGGAACTTAGGACCTCCACGCCAGTTTCTTGGGTATAAATTTTTAATTATCCTATCTCCGCGTGCGTTGATCACACGCGCTCCCACGTCACACAACATCTAATGCTAACTTGTGTGTTTTGAAAGTGTGAAGGTACGGTAAATCAGGCAGCAAAAAACATGCAACTTGTCTTGCAACATTGCTGCAAAACGAGCTGAATAGCGATGTTGTGCGTTTTACCATCCACATCAAACCTGTCTTGTAGCAAATCAGGTTGTTAACAGGTTTGAATGGGGGTGATAAAATGCGCAGCATCGCTTTTCAAAACACAAGGCACTTAACATTTTAGTGAGGTACCTTTTCCTAAGGGCGTCTGATTTGTTGATGTGTGTTCTCTCCTTTTTTCGAAAGGGTAAAACCATTTCGTTTCACGCTCATGAGAGCATTACACATAGCTGACGCTGTGTTTCTTTTGTTTCTCGTTAGTACACCGATCACTTACTTGTGCTGGTTGTAGGATTATCATACTCAGCGTTAGCTCCTCTTATCACTCCATTTGTTGCGTTGTACTTCGGGCTGGGGTACATCGTATGGATGCATCAGATACTCTGTGTATACATCCCAGTGTACAGTTGTGGAGGCCTTATGTGGCCAAAGTTATTTAACAGGTAAAAACAAAGCCTTGTAAGCCTGTCCAGCAAATTGATTTTCTCAAAAAGGTGTCGCGAGGGTGATCTTTACAGGGTCTTTCCTCGAATCGGAGTCGATCATTTATTGTGCTCTATGCCTCACAGTATCATAATAAGTCGAATTCGTTTCATTATGGGGGGAGGCTTTTATCCGGGGAGGGTTTAAACATGGATGTATTTTTTTGTTTGCTTACGGGTATATGGGCGAATATCTGTGGAGTGGGGGGTTGGGGGCCTGTGGGGGAGGGGGGAGCTTATAGACAGTAGCTTACGGTACTTTATTTCAAAATACCGTAAAATTCCGAAAATAAGCCCCGGGGCCAAGAGCCGATTAGTAATCGGCTCCTGCCGGGGCTTATATTTTTCAAAGGCCCTTTATGAGGGGCTTATTTTTGGAGGGGCTTATATTCGGAGGGGCTTATCTACGGAGGGATATTTGCGTTTCAAAATTGATTTGGCTAGCCTTATAGCTGGAAGGAAATTTACCGTTTTTGCTTTGTTTTACTTTGTATTTGAGGGCAATTTCCAAGTACAAGCCCCCGGGTGGCTTATATTTGGAGGGGCGATTTAACGGAGGGTTTTTTGCGTTACGAGTTTGGGGGGGCTTATACATGGAGGGGCTTATTTTCGAAATTTTACGGTAGCTCTGTTTTATTATTGTTGTGTCTTCATCTTTTCAGGGTTATCGCGTCAATGATTGTGTTTCACCTGCTCATGATGGGAGTTTTGAGCCTGAAGGAATCATTCATCACCTCAGCGGCTATGGTTCCTCTTCCAATATTTACTTTTCTGTTTTTTGCTTTTATTCAACAACATTTTGTTGGAGCCTCAATGTGCCTATCCCTCAGCATGGCGTCGGGGTTACAAGAGGCTAGTCCTCATTTTCTCCAGGTAAGTCTACTAACATTGTAAATGAGTTGAACCCACGAGTCATGTCATAAGATGATTGCTCGAGTGACTGTAGCCCTTAATAGGACTGTGGTATTTTGTTTGTACATTTTGCCGGTTTGTTAGATTCCCCTATTTTTCCTTAATATTGTCGGGATTGAGCGCTTACCGTCCATCTTGGTTTCAAATGTACCGAGGGGGGAGGGGGCGGGCCGGTACATATGAAACCAAGATGGCCGCCCGTAACGTTAGGTTTTCAATCTCGAGAATCTTACGGAAAAATAGAGGACTGGGAACGATCTACCGGTTTGTATATGTAAACATCAGAGCAATGAGGATTTTCCTACTTGTTCTTTTAAACTGATGGCATTTTTCCCTCGAAACGTTACATTACTCAAGGCCAGGAGCTCCTTTCAAGACCAAGAAAGGACACTAAAAATTATTCATCTGAAATCTTTACGCGGCTTTTATGCTCTTTGCCTCAAACACTAGGCATAGTGGAAACTGTTAATCGTATGTATATCTCCTATGTACCACACTTCTTTACCGACCATGTACTGTTTGAAAAACACGATTCTGAAAACAGCGCGTAATGCCCTTGTATGTGAGTTTAGTAGAAACCAGCTATCACCCGAAGTAAGGTAATCCAAGACAGCCTTGGATTCTGGATTCCAGGCCATGTACATTCCTGATTCCAGGTGCTAGATTCTGAATTCCTTGTCAATGGAACTTGGACTCCGGATACCAATCTTTTGCGGGATTCCGGATTCCTTGAGCTGAATTACGGATTCCAAAGCCCAGTATTCCAGATTCCACGAGTAACATTTTTCCCGAATTCCGGAATCAGATTACCTAACATGTGACGACAACTGGTATTCTATCGCCCCATGGAAGGGAATCCGGATTCCGGAATGCGAGAAAATTCTTCTTGTGGAAAATTTGGAAAATTTGGAATCTTGGGCTTTGGAATCCGGAATACAGCTCAAGGAATCCGGACTCTCTAACGATTGAAATCCAGAATCCAAGTTTCAGTGACAAAGACCGTAATCCAGTACCTGGAATCCAGAATCCACTGCGTGGACTCCAGAATCCAAAACTGTCTTGGATTCCCTTTATACATGGGGCGAATTGTATAAATCACGAGAGAAATTTCTTTAGCAGAACTTTGGCTTAGTAGTTCTGAATTTGGAGGATTTTCCCAAAGGAAATTTCAAGTTTTGTTGTTTTTTTTTTCTTTGGCCATTACCAGCAGTGAAATGTTTTACATTTAATCTGGTAACACAGTTTTTGGTATATCATTTTAACTTTTCAGGATGTTGCTCGACGTTATGTCAGAAATCATCAGTTGCCACCAACGTATGGTCGCAGTACATCGTACTTTAACGGAGATTATTTGTATGAATACGAGGAGATATCCTCTGATGTAGCACCAGATGCGTCCTGGTCAAGAGACTCCCCAAACGAAGAACTTGCTTAAATTTCCCTGAATATCGGCGTAGCGTGGAGAATCGGCCGTAATTACAGTGTCAGTGTCTCAGTGTAACTTCTCTAGTGCTGCATTCTAGTTCGGAGTGGTGGAAAAAAAGCTTGAACAAGCCAGGTTAGGATCAAGAGACAGGTTTTGTCTAATCTGTTTATGAAACAGAAGACTTTAAATGAAAGACTTGTGAACGTAATCAAACCAAGAAAAGGACAGATTAAATAATTTAATATTTAGGTGACGGGTATTGCTAGCCGTGAATGCCGCAAGTGTTAATTACGTCTTGGTTCGCACCTTCCTACTTATCTAAATAATTAAGAAACCTAGAACTATTATATTTTTAACATGAAACTGCAGTAGGTTTATAAATTACTAGGAATCCTTGAGGCCTGTTTAGACTGCTGACCTGTTTCGGGGCCATCAACCTGTGAATGTGACAGTAGCGTTTAGCTTTATCTAGAGTAGCCTGCGTAGCAGGCGCTGGTTTTTTCAGGGCGAAGGGAAAAATTTCTATGCAAGCGCGGGTAGCCGCTACAGTCCGTTGAGTGATGTATAAGACCCCGGTGGACCAACCAACCATGTAAACCCCGTTTACATGGAGGGAGGGTTACCCTCCTTTAAGGGTCGTCCTATACTCTGTTTTTTTTCCTCCTAGATTTATTTACAGTAGAGGCAAGGTCCTAGGAGGGGGGAGGGGTACCCTTTGTGTCCTTTAGTGTAACCCTCCCAGTAGGGTACCTTTTTGCCATGTAAATAGTCGTGGGAGGGTGTCCCTCCTAGGAGTGTGAAGTCTCGTGTGATCAGTTCACGGTTGGATTTGTTGTATTTGTTCGAAATACTAATAAGGGTCGGCGGTCTTTTTTAAACATGTACAAAAGCAGAAACCCACAGTACTGAACGCCGTTGCAAATGACACGAGCGCCAGCATCTAAATGCTTTAACGAGCAAACTCCCTCGTTTGTCCGCCAGTTTGGTTTTTGCATGCCTTGCAAGCACTTCACGGGAATATCAAGTCCTTGCCTTTTCCCTGGCCTTTGCGTTTCGGGTCACGTGGTCCGAGCGAGTTTGTTCGTCTCGCATACGTCATGGAATGCATTGACGTAGAAAGCCTGGGAAGGCGGTCTTACATGGACTTGGCAAGCTTTGTCCCCCTCCTCATGTTAAGGTTGCTTGGAGCCAGGATAGTCCTTCTGGGAGGGTTAACTTCCCTTAATGTGAACAGGGCCAAAGGTTTAGATGATGTTAATCGCTTGCTTGGGCGCGGCGGTGTCTGTAAGCCGTCGAGCTCAATTGTGACATAAAAGAACCCACTGCTCGAAGAAGCAAGGGCACGTAGGCCTCCTTGTCATCATTGGCCTCCCTTATTTTTATTTTCATTGGTTTGGGCGTCAAGGGTGAGAGCACGAAAAGCGACAGAAAGTTCGCCTGGTTCCTCCGCAATTCAGCCACCGGTTTTAAGTGATGCAATTGGCTCCGTTAATTAATTCTTTCTCGTATCTTCCGAAGACAAAAGTGCGATAATCGTGAGCTAGATAGTTGTAAGCTGGAGTTTCATCTATATATTCTGGGGCCTATACTTTATGATTCGCGTTGTGGACTTTTAAATATGCCAAGTATTTCGGTTCGAACAAACATGTACTTTTTAAAACTTGTATTAAAATAAATAAATAAATGAATTAATCGATAAATAAATAAAATGACAAGGTAGATAAATAGAAAATAAAAGTGACCGATGAATAAAAAAAATAGAAACCATCGGAAAAATTTAGACTCTTTACTTTTCTTGTGCTTTTTTGAATGGGTACTGCATGACATCGACCGGTGGGTAGGCACGGGTGCAAAGATACGAGTAAAGACTAAGCAATATGAGTCACATCGACATTCCAATATATATTTTGTAATATTGCTTCTCTCTTGTTTGTGTTAGGAAATTACTAAATCCCTCTTTAGGAAATTACTAAATCCCTTTGTTGATTAAAATATAAGCTATGAGATACTTTCCTTCACCGTCAGGTCGCCAGTTCTCTAAAAATAACTATTTGAGATTATCGATTTAAATGTTCTCAAAACATAGCCAGTCTTAACGTCTTAATGATGCTGACAGTTTCGATGACTGTCAGCCATCTTTATCAAAACTTGGAAAACATTAAAAGTGTCTGAAGCCTTAAATAGGCCTCTGAAAGTGTTAAATTTTAATTTTTTCCAAGTTTTGATAAAGATGGCTGACAGTCATCGAAACTGTCAGCATCATTGAGACGTTAAGACTGGCTATGTTTTGAGAACATTTAAAGCGATATTAACTTCACTAGCCTGATGAATTTCTTTAAGACCTATTTGAGATTAGATTGGATTAAGGTAGAAAAGGGGATCCATACGTCATTTACAGTGTATTTTAGTGGTTTAAATTTATTCTTGGTTTTTTAAACCTTCTTTCCTTTTTTTTTCAAAATAAAACTCATTATCATGCATTACCAAATCCCGTAGCAAAGAAAAAAATATAAACCATGAATAAAATTTTACCAAAGCAGATACTCGGAGACGATATGAAATGACCCGGCCAATATTTTGGAAGTTCTCCTGAGAACGTGAAGGGATATGCGATAAACTTTTCTGGATCTTTCTATTATTCGTGAAAGAAGTTTGAAAGGACGCGGAAGTCAGTTTTTCAGTCACAGTTTCATTGGCGTCTCCATTGTCTGATCTGAAGGTCCCTCATGTGATGCAAGACAAAGAAAAAAACAATCGTTTGAGACTTGATAGAATTCGATCGTATTGACCTCGAGACAATCCTTTAATATACAACTTGAATGCACCCAGTTTCTTACTAGAGTATACCTATAAGCGAACTTCTCTGTTTTGATTTCAGTCAAAAGTAATAGCTGTTGCGCTAATGAGACAAAATGTCGGAACAAACGCAACTGGTGGTAATTTTGAGCTGTAAAGTTCTAGAATAGCGAAGCACACGTACTTGTCATGTTTGCTGATAATGATAATCACGCGATCACGGACGGTCACAATAAAGCTCGTGTCAACGAGCTTTGTTGAGAGTGTTATGATTCAGTTTACAATGATTTATACCTTACGCTAGTAAACTCAAGTGATCCCCAGTATTCGATAAAGAAACAAACGTTCAAAATAGAATGTCACGCAATTCGATAGTTATAATCATAACAAACTCAGCTAGTTTCTTTACTATAATAAAAGTCCAAGTTCTCCGTTTTCATTTCAGTCAAAAGTAATTTGTTGCGCTAATAAGACAAAATATGTCTGAATTACGCAATGGGTGGTGTTCTTTCTAATTTTGAGCTGTAAAGTTCTAGATTAGCGAAGTACATGAACTCGCCATGTTTGCCGATTGAATGATTATCACGCGATCACGAACGGTCACAAAAAGGTAGAGTTTTAGGATTCAATTTACAATGAATTTATAAATTACCCTGGTGTACGCTGGTTAATACCCAGATGATCGCCAAGTATTCGATAAAGGAACGTAATTTATTACTTTAAAACTGATCACTATGATTTAACAGACATTTCTAGACGGAATATTCACATATGCGGTTGATAGGTTCAAGTTCACAATGGATCAGCTGTCACCAAGGCTTACAAACTTGCTTTCACGTGATCGTCGTCACTCTACCCTATTGGTCACCAGTCTGGTGCTGTTTTTTGTTTCTTCGAATAATTGTTTTCGCAAAACGAATTAATAATACTTATTGAGGTCCTGTCATTCTAGTAAAATCTGTTAGTGTTGGGTGTAGCTGTCCGCTAACAGCTACACTACAAGAAGCCTTTGAAAATGTCTAACGATACGAGTGAAGCCGCGGAAGGCTCTGACACGACAAACACGTTTGTGTCAGCGCTTATTCTCAATTTGATCATTTCAGTGGTCTGTTTAATCATATTTTGTCTCTTAAGGCAGAAGCATCCAAAGATTTACTCCCCAAGACAGCTTTTGGTGGAAAGCCCCGCTCCCGGAAAACGTTCGCAGTCCTTCTTTTCATGGCTTTTTCCCGCGATCTTCGTCAAGGACAAAGAGGTCTTTCAGTACGCGGGTATCGATGCGGTCGTCCACATGCGGTTTTTGAAACTTTGCTTCAAAATATCACTGGTGCTATTGCCGTACGGCATTATAGTCCTTATTCCCGTGAATTATTTTGGCGGAGAAGATTTAGGCGGGCTCGATAAACTAGCCCTCTCCAACATTACGCCCAAGTCGCCAAAAGTGTGGGCTCATGTGGTTGCCGCCTGGATTTATACATTGGTGATCTGTTACCTTCTGCACCAGGAGTGGAAAACATTTATCGTCTATCGCCAGGAGTATCTTAGCCAAGGGAGGGGCTATCAATATGCTGTGCTAGTGAGAGATTTGCCGCCAAAGGTAAGCAGGCATCTAATTGCACAACAGTCCTCCCTATTTCGCTTTTCCTAGCGAATAAATTAAATAGTAGTTAAATCAGAATCGCATCAACCGAATTTGTTACTTCGTGAAGTCACGAGGTTGCAGCAGCTGGAGATAAAAAAACGAATTTACCTTTCACATAAATAATAGATTAGAGGAGACAGAATGAATGTAAATTTCTTTTGTATGGCGTTACAGACCGTGACACGTGTTGGGTTTGTCTCGAGCCGGTATAATTTAATGGAGCGAAATTTTTGAATAGTGTACACTGAAGTAGAAAAATTCTCACTTTTCTGTCAGAATAAAGAAAAGGAAAATAAATAAGAAACTAAGCAAAAGAAAATAGACAGCAAATATAAAAACGTACAATGAAAAGATTTTGTTATGCAAAGTCCACTTTTTTGTTTTGAACATGTGTTTTGAACAGAGAGCTTCTGCAGGTTACCCAAGCGTGTAATATCCGCTTTATTCCACGTGGTTTCTTTTCCACCCAGATTGCACAAAATAAGAAATGTCCGAACAAATATTCACATGGAACTGTGAGACAACTGGTCTGAAAATGAAGAGTATTATGTAACTGTTTTGAAGTCTTTATAAGGCCATCCCCATAAAATGTTTCGTTTCCCATCGCCCACCCGACCCATTTTTTTGGAAAAGTAAAACAAAAAAATTCCAGAATCACTTGTAAAGAAGCAAGTACTTTAATTTACAAGCACACAATCTTGTCTTATTAATGTACCAATTGTCTTAAATTATCATCGATACTTCGTTTTTGTAGCCTTTTTAGACATTTGATAGTCCTGTTAATATACATCTTTTACCATCTGATTATATCTTGCATACTAAACGTGAGATTTAATATGCAATCATGTGTTCATTCTTTTTTTTTTTTGCCCGACTGACCGACCCACCTTCACGAGAGGGAGGGCGATGGGAAACGAAACATTTTATGGGGATGGCCTGATAAACATCCACATGGGGCGCTGGCTTCCTCAACCTTCTCGTTTTCAAGTTGGCTCATGGGAACATAAGTGCTGCCGCCATGTTGGAAAACAAGAGGGTCGAAGGTACAGCCGCTTACTTGGGTGAAAAGTGATATGGCAGGTCTTTTCCACGACTCCCCATTCTTCACTCTTGTCTGGCTTTTTATCGTCTTTCGGATCTGGTGGGATACGTTTTAGTAGCAGTATTTACTTGATTGAGCGCTGCCCTCTGCAGTGAAGGCGGCATATGCAAGCAAAGTTACCAATAAATGCCACTCTCAAATATACACCACTTCAGAAAG